ACTGATTACTAATCGATTATATAATTACAATACCCCCCCCTCCGCCTTTAATCACTGCACCTGATATGAGTTAAGTGATGACGTCACCCTGCTGCTCTATATAAAAACCGGGAGCAAGCGAGGGCTTTACCATTCTGGCGAATTGCCCGATGATGCTGGATGTATTTACCAGCGAAACGTCGTACTCAAACTGTAAATGTGGATTAACTCTTCAACACACCGGTGGGCTGAAGTAGTGAATTATTTGTCTTTTGTCAACGTGACACTTTTTTTGCTGATTGGCCGTGTCGGGTGGTGGAGGGTTACGACACATTTATAAATAAACGCGATCTAACACGAAAACCTTTATTATGAATAATATTGGTCGCGAAAGCCTACGTGTTAAACTGTGGTGTACCTGGTTTCACTACAGCAGTGCATACTGACTGTGGTGGTAGCTGCTTTCACTACAGAAGTGCATACTGACTGTGGTGGTATCCTGCTATGACTACAGCAGTGCATACGGACTGTGGTGGTAGCTGATATGATTACAGAAGTGTATACTGACTGTGGTGATAGCTGCTATGATTACAGCAGTGCATACTGCTGTGGTGGTACCTACTATGATTACAACAGTGCATACTGTGGTGGTACCTGGTTTCACAACAACAGTGCATACCGACTGTGGTGGTACCTGGTTTCACTACAGCAGTGCATACTGACTGTGGTGGTACCTGCTATGACTACAGCAGTGCATACGGACTGTGGTGATAGCTGCTATGATTACAGCAGTGTATACTGACTGTGGCGGTAGCTGCTATGATTACAGCAGTGCATACTGCTGTGGTGGTACCTGCTATGATTACATCAGTGCATACTGACTGTGGTGGTACCTGCTATGATAACAGCAGTGCATACTGACTGTGGTGGTACCTGCTATGCTTACAGCAGTGCATACTATGGTGGTACCTGCTTTCACTACAGCAATGCATACCAACTGCGGTGGTACCTGTTTTCACTACAGAAGTACATAACTACTGTGCAGGTGCCTGCTATCACTACAGCAGTGCATACCAACTGTGGTGGTACCTGCTTCCACTACAGCAGAGCATACCGACTGTGGTTGTCCCTGCTATCACTGCAGCATTGCATACCGACGGTGGTGTACCTGGTTTCACTACAGCAGTGCATACTGACTGTGGTGGTAGCTGCTTTCACTACAGAAGTGCATACTGACTGTGGTGGTATCCTGCTATGACTGCAGCAGTGCATACGGACTGTGGTGGTAGCTGATATGATTACAGAAGTGTATACTGACTGTGGTGATAGCTGCTATGATTACAGCAGTGCATACTGCTGTGGTGGTACCTACTATGATTACAGCAGTGCATACTGTGGTGGTACCTGGTTTCACAGCAGCAGTGCATACCGACTGTGGTGGTACCTGGTTTCACTACAGCAGTGCATACTGACTGTGGTGGTAGCTGCTATTACTACAGCAGTGCATACGGACTGTGGTGATAGCTGCTATGATTACAGCAGTGTATACTGACTGTGGCGGTAGCTGCTATGATTACAGCAGTGCATACTGCTGTGGTGGTACCTGCTATGATTACAGCAGTGCATACTGACTGTGGTGGTAGCTGCTATGATTACAGCAGTGCATACTGACTGTGGTGGTAGCTGCTATGATTACAGCAGTGCATACTGCTGTGGTGGTACCTGCTATGATTACAGCAGTGCATAATGACTGTGGTAGTACCTGCTATGATAACAGCAGTGCAGACTGACTGTGGTGGTACCTGCTATGATTAAAGCAGTACATACTGTGGTAGTACCTGCTTTAACTACAGCAGTGCATACCGACTGTGGTGGTACCTGCTATGACTACAGCAGTTCACACTGACTGTCGTTGTACCTGCTATCACTGCAGCATTGCATACCGACTGTGGTGGCTCCTGCTATCACTACAGCAGTGCCTATCAACTGTGGTGGTACCTGCTATGACTACAGCAGCGCATACTGACTGTGGTGGTATCCTGCTGACTACAGCAGTGCATAGAGACTGTGGTGGCAGCTGCTATGATTACAGCAGTATATACTGACTGTGGTGGTAGCTGCTATGATTACAGCAATGCATACTGCTGTGGTGGTACCTACTATGATTACAGCAGTGCATACTGTGGTGGTACCTGCTTTCACTACAGCAGTGCATACTGACTGTGGTGGTACCTGCTATTATAGCAGTGCATACTGACTGTAGTGGTACCTGCTATGATTATAGCAGTGCATACTGACTGTGGTGGTACCTGCTATGATTACAGCATTGCATACTGACTGTGGTGGCTCCTGCTATCACTACAGCAGTGCATACCAACTGTGGTGGTACCTGATTTCACTACAGCAGTGCATACCGACTGTGGTGGTTACATGCTTTAATTACAGCACCGCATACCGACTGTGGTGGGACCTGCTATAACTACAGCAGTGCATACCGACTGTGGTGATACCTGGTTTCATTACAGCAGTGCATACCGACTGTGGTGGTACCTGCTATGACCACAGCAGTGCAGACTGACTGTGGTGGTACCTGCTATGATTACAGCAGTGCATACTGCTGTGGTGGTACCTGCTATGATTACAGCAGTGCATAATGACTGTGGTGGTACCTGCTATAACAACAGTGCAGACTGACTGTGGTGGTACCTGCTATGATTACAGCAGTACATACTGTGGTAGTACCTGCTTTAACTACAGCAGTGCATACCGACTGTGGTGGTACCTGCTATGACTACAGCAGTTCACACTAACTGTGGTTGTACCTGCTATCACTGCAGCATTGCATACCGACTGTGGTGGCTCGTGCTATCACTACAGCAGTGCCTACCAACTGTGGTGGTACCTGCTATGACTACAGCAGCGCGTACTGACTGTGGTGGTATCCTGCTATGACTACAGCAGTGCTTAACGACTTTGGTGGTACCTTCTTTCACTACAGCAGTGCATAATGACTTTGGTGGTACCTTCTTTCACTACAGCAGTGCATACTGACTGGTGGAACCTGCTTCTACTACAGCAGTGCATACTGACTGTGGTGGTAGCTGCTATGACTACAGCAGTGCATAATGACTGTGGTGGTAACTGCTATGATTACAACAGTGCATGCTGACTGTGGTGGTGACTGCTATGATTACAGCAGTGCATACTGACTGTGGTGGCACCTGCTTTCACTACCGCACTGCATACTGACTGTGGTGGTAGCTGCTATGACTACAGCAGTGCATACTGACTGTGGTGGTATCTGCTATGATTACAGCAGTGTATACTGACTGTGGTGGTACCTGCTATGATTAAATCAGTGCATACTGACTGTGGTGGTACCTATGATCACAGCAGTGCATACTGTGGTCGTACCTGTTTTCACAACAGCAGTGCATACTCACTGTGGTGGTACCTGCTATCACTACAGTAGTACATGCTGAATCCATAGCAGTATATATCGACTCTAAAGCACAAACTACTAACCTGACAGAGTGGCATGGTGAGGCCTACTCCCCTGCCGAGCCCCCGGCCTCACATAGATTGCCCAGCCGGCTGAGGCTGGGGCTGGGCCGCTACCCCCGCCCCCCCACCATCCCCCCGCCCGCACTACAATAATACCATCTAAGCGCTATAATATTAGTATCTACCGATTCTATAGTAGTAAGTGCACACATTTGGGTGGGGGGGGGAGAGAAGAGGACATGACCCTTTGATGAATTTACCTTAGCATTGCGTGCATTTTTTTTTGCATTTTGTATGCGAAGGAGAAATCCCCCCACCCTCCACCGATGACGCGCGTGCGTTGCTAGGGGCAACCCCGGCCAGCTGTCGTGGCTTGAGAAAATAATTAAATAATGCTGAATTGCACTAAATTGTTAATTAAATCTCAATCTAGATTTGAAGTTTTTGTGACTGCAGGGATCCATACTCCTTGGTTCTTTCGGTAAAGTCACGTAGGTGTTGAGGAGTTCCCGACGACAACTCAGAGACGGCTTGAAGGTAAGGGCTTTCGCCAAAGGTTTATTAAGTATATTACAATAACACAAAGGGTGTGACAACTTCCCAGGGGTTAGGGGTCCCACACTAAGTCCTGGTCCAGCCCGGCTAGCTCCGGTCTCTCTCCCTTGAGTCGGATGGGGGCACTAGCCAACCCCACCGACCGGGAAGAGCAGCACCTCCTACGGCTACCACCGGCTTCACTCCTGTCTCTTCGTCGATCCCTCTCTACCCCTGGTTCCCTCTCCACCCTTCTCACTCTCCTCGTTCCCACAGTGACCCCGCTTTAGTCACGGGGTCCCCCTTAAATACTAGACGAGACATGACGTCATCGAGCCGCCCAGCGCGCATGACGCCACGTTCCATGACGTCATCGCACTGGACGGCACACATGACGTCACGTCCCCATTTTACTCCTCTTCATAGGTATAAAATAAATGTAACTACTTTAAAGTTGACGAATGGCAAAATGGAATACCGCTTGCCCACCGCGGGGCTTACGGCGTGCTGCCTGGCAAATTTTTTTCGACGTAAACCCCACCATTTGAGAGCCAAATCCCTCGCAAGCGCGCGTGCGCAGACAGACGGACAGACGGACAGACAAAGAATGACTTTTATAGGTTCGATAAGCGACTTACATCGTCCCAAATTTTGAAAGGGCACCTCTAGTTGCAGCTGTCAAAGTCATTGAGCACCTGTTACAAATCAGGCAAAACTCTGCTTTGTGTAATCCCAATCGAGTAATTTGTGAATCCGGTTAATGTGGACCATAACAATGGTACAAAATGGCCTCCTCACTTCAAATAATGTCACGGAATCTTTAACGTCTGCTGCCAAGAAAAGTGCATATTTTATGGTTAATACGCATGCAGCAATAACCAGGGTGGACACCATGTTTGAAGTGCGAAACTCTGCAAAAAGTGGTGAACGTGCTACCACTGAGCAATGTCCAGTGATATAGTCACTATCTGAGCCCAACTTACGATGGCAGAGTGGAGCTGCTCCCTGAGGTCGGCGCAGGCCTTGGCGGAGAAGGCGGCCTCGCTGACGAGCCCCTCGCGCTTCTCCTCGCTCATTCCCAGATCCTCCCTTAACTGCTCACACTCCGTGTCTAGCTGTGCAACTCGATCGCACAGTGACGCCTGCTTCCCCAGCACCGCCTGTGGCAAGCAGGGAAGGACAACGATCTGTCAGAGAATGTATGCTTCAGCTCTACCCCCCTCCCCACCCATATGTTAATTATCCTTATATTATTTTTTGAGAATACTAGTTGTCACATGGAATTAATGTTTGAAAATTGGTTGACACATGGTTGGTTAATAAAATTGTGGGTGTTGTCAGAGTAATCTCGCATGTACCATCAACCTCTCCATGCCTCTTTGTGTGCTTTTAAACTTTTCCATAAAACATTTTCAGTACATTAAAAATATTATACTTAAAAATATGGACCTGCTGCTGTAAGTATGTGTCCAACACAGTGGTGTGGTAAAATATTTGTTTTATCACCTGTACATGCTTCTGCAAGTTGTTTGCCAAAGCAGTCTGGCTCGCGGCCTGAGCTTTTGTGTCTCGCACTCTCTCCCACGCCCCCTCCAGATCCTTCTTTGCCTTCCTCGCTCGTAAAATCTCCCCTTCGAGCGCTTTCTCCATTTCCTGAATGCGGGCTCTGCTCTGAGTCTCAGAAGCCCTTAGTTTCAACTCTACATTTGTGGCACGGACACACATAGGAAAACCTGGGCGTCATTACCAACAAATCTACAAACATGTTAAAATCCCAGCAGAGTCGTGCAATGGTTAACACTTGTTTGTGCATGAGAGTAAGAAGGACCTGGGTTAGAGTCAAAACTTGGGCAAACTTTCTGTGGAGTTTGCACATTCTCCCCCTCCTCTACTTGGGTTTTCTCTGGGTTCTCTGATTTCCTGCCATAACAAAAAAAGAACTATACAATGTAACTGGTATTGCAAACATCCCAATACTGAAACATTACCTGCAAATTATTCAAATGGGATTACACATTGCAACATCGCCCCTACTGTGAAAACTTGGCAGGACCATCCCAACACAGAATCTTAGGACTCAGTGAGGCTTTTCCCGGTTAACAGGCATACTTAATAAATACAATGGCAGGAGTAGAAGCAGTTCACTCACCAAGGTTTGACACTGTGGACATGTGGCATCTGACTGTTTCTTGATGTTGTTGGATGACTTCTTCACACTTGACTTTTTCTGTCATGTAAATTTACATTTGGGTCAATATCGATCAAAAAGAGCTAAGCATATTAATTGAAACCCATCAACGTAGTTTAGATCAGTCTAGATGTGACATGTAGTTATGCGTGATAAATCGTGCTTATAATCACGCTACCTCATGACAAGTTTATGGAAATTGAATGTCTGCAGTAAATATCGTGAGGATATTGAGCAATAGTGGCGTGTAGAGCACTGGGTCTTAATTGGCTAAGGGCAGATGGGTGGTACTTTAGACACTGTCTCTTCCACCAGGCAAAGGTAGGTGGACACGTGGCTCACAGGTCAGTCATGTGTGCTGAGAAGTGAAGGCATGTCGGTATGGAGCTCCAATATTTGAATTGTAATCTATAGCCATCTGCAATGACAGAGTAACACAAGTCACCTATCTAGCTTCTATAGCATAAATCTAGAGTTGTTAAATCTAAAATGGTAATTTGCTAAATGTGATGCTTTACAGCATGTAGAAGAGCATAACATGGGGCGTGGTGCTTTGGCTAACGATCCGTGACGAGTGATTATATGGATAACTAGGGAAGTGCAATTAATGAACGTATACGTTAATGGATAATATTTTTGAACTGTTACGTGTTTTGTTAAATGTTATAATACATGTAGTCACATGGTGCCCTGAGAGGGAGCAGGGAAATAGGTGTGCTATATCTGCGGGCCGAGTCATGACCTAGTGTGATAACATTACAGGCCCTGCTGGTGTGCGAATAAATGGGCGCCATTGTCATTCATCATATCCTCTGCAGACTTCATGTGTACGGTGGTGAGAGAGTGAGGCGTGCTGTGGCCTCGGAGATGGAGATAGAGCTGAAGCAAGAAGGGAAATAGGTGTGCTATATCTGCGGGCCGAGTCATGACCTAGTGTGATAACATTACAGGCCCTGCTGGTGTGCGAATAAATGGGCGCCATTGTCATTCATCATATCCTCTGCAGACTTCATGTGTACGGTGGTGAGAGAGTGAGGCGTGCTGTGGCCTCGGAGATGGAGATAGAGCTGAAGCAAGAATAATCGCAGAGTACTACCAAGCTCTGACAATGATATTCTATACCCCTGTGTTCTCAGTGAAAATCACGGCCAATGATAGTAATGTGGATTGTGATATACAATAACACTGATAATGCAGGGTGTGATAGACCCTGGCTGATGATGATAATAACCAAACTGGACACCGCTTATATATATTACACACCATGATCCTTCCCTACGGTGTCACCTCAAACACCTTCAGATAGGAATACTTATGTTCACCCATTGCATAAAGGTCATCATATGTTAAGACTCTTAAAAAATACTGACCGGAAGTAGCCATGTACTTCAGAGGTCATAGAAACTGAGTTGACCTGTGATTAAAACCAGGTTTCACTCACCCATGATTAATCTGGGTTCTCATATGTAGTGAGCTCATGGTCTCAGCCGAGTCACCAATGACTACATAACCAAACCACTACATTGATTAACCAAATTTAATGACAAACCAAATTATAGATTTACTACAGTTGGGTATGGTCCACTGCAGATATCGAGTGATGAAATCAGCTCAAATGTAGGTGCTAGATGATTCTTACATTGCAGGACCGTTAAGGATGGCGACTGCTTGATGAGGCCTTCATCTAGTACTGGACAGAACATGGCAGATGATGGTGAAGATACAACCATCATCTCACCTCGGATGACTTCCAGCCTCTCCTTGTCCATCGCCTGCACTGTTCTCTCATGATCGCTCTGCAGTCGCCGCACTGTGGAATTCAATTCGGCCTTTGCGTTTCTCAGGGAGGCAGCAATGTCAGCAGCTTGTTGCTTCTCTTGCTCCAACTCGGCCTGCAAGGAAGGTGACCACCCCGATTTGCCCATTTCTTCTCATGCAAATACAATCCCACCCGCATTTTAAAAAGTAAACAAATATTGGTTTCCCCAGATTATTTGTTCCCCCAGGGAAACAGATTATTTGTTCCCACCAGCTAACATATAGCAGCGCACAGACCATGGCAATACAATGGTGACCAGCCGACATAGTTCCCCACCTTGAGTGGCACCACCTCCCCTTCCAAGCGCTCCATGTGTCGCATCACACGGGTAAGGTCCCTGGCCATGTTGGCCGCCCAGCGAGAGGTGTCTGTTGGGTGGCCGGGCCCCTGGCCCACATCGCTCCGCAGCTGAGAGAGGCAGGATGGCAGTTGCTGACTCTGGCAGAGCTTCATGACGGCATCACAGACCTGTGGTTCACAGGGCGGACACCGCAAATGAAAGCAGCACAACCTCTGATCACGTGATTCATTATTACTTAGACACCTCACAGACCCTTTGTTTATCCATGGCTGGAAGGTCTAATGGTGATGTTTTGGTCACGGGGATTTTTTTATGATAATGAATACAATTACAGTGTAGGTTTGTGATGAAAAAATGAGTCTCTATATTAGTGTGGGGGTTTCTATGTTCTCTTGTGGCCACCTTCCTCCACAGGGAGGGTAAGGAAGTGATAAAATATCCGCGTGAGTGAGTTTATGGTTGCAGATGAAGGATGAGTTATGCGAGTGGAATACTTTGAAGAAGGACCTTGGGATCTGGGAAGGAACCATTCATAAGTGAAAACATTTTAAGGAGAACCATCAAAATAGGGTTTTCCCCTTTTTCAGGCAACAAAACAGGTGCTAAGATGTTAAAACACCAAACTGAAACCTTGTACAAGGAATCATGTCTGCATTAACCACTCTGTCTATCCTGGTATGTTCAATCCAGAGGTTGAACACGAAATTTAACACTCTTTTGAAATTCGTGGTCCGCCAGGTAAGTGTCTAACTGTGTTGTTGACCTGACTGGTTGTGCATCACATATTTTTTCTTAGGTTTGTTGAATTCCCATTTCTCATCTTCTTGTTGTATTTACCTCCGTGATTTGTATTTACACCTGATAAGGATCGCTTGTGTTGTGGTCGAAACGTCGTGATTGATTTGTTTTAATATAATTTTATGGTATTCCTACATATGTGACTTTACCGAAAAAACAAATAAGTAATTTACGCAGTCACGAAAGCTTTAATCCTTTATTAACACACTTCTACGGGGAAGTTACCTTTGCAATTCTGTCCTAAACGTGGTGTGCCCCTTACTTGCTCCTGCCGCCTCCCCCCCGCCTCTGCTGCGTTGCAGCCCGTGCTTCCTCCTGCTCCTCCCCCCGCTTCTGTGGCTGTGCCCTTTCTCTCTGGCCCCTCCCCCCACCTTCACTTCTTATTTAAGGCTTCTGTTCATCCGACCCTTTTTTCCTTGCTTCTCTGTCCGTCCTTCCCTCTTGGTGTCTCTGTATATGTATTTCTGACTTGTAGCTCGTATTTGTTCTCTCTGTCTATGCTGGTATGTTCAATCCAGAGGTTGAACACGAAATTTAACACTCTTTTGAAATTCGTGGTCCGCCAGGTAAGTGTCTAACTGTGTTGTTGACCTGACTGGTTGTGCATCACATATTTTTATTAGGTTTGTTGAATTCTCGTATCTCATCTTCTTGTTGTATTTACCTCCGTGATTTGATTTTTACACCTGATGAGGATCGCTTGTGTTGCGGTCGAAACGTCGTGATTGATTTGTTTTAATATAATTTTATGGTATTCCTACATACGTGGCTCTCTTATTTATATAGCAGGCTAGTTTGATTATTAACCCTTTACAATTCTATTCTTGTAGTGTTAATTTATATTACATTTGTAGTGATTGAGTGGATTTAAACGTCTCATGCAAGACGGCAAGATCCTCCTTCAGCTCTTGTTGCCTTTGATGACCTTTCTTTATCTGTGGGCCCCCTTTTTTGTTTGTGAACCTCGAATGAATACTTTAAGAGAGTCCCAAATTATATGGGAAGAAGGGGGTTAGAGGCCGAATGAATCTGTATGAATTCACCTATTTCCTTTATCAACTCCTCCATCTTCTGCTCGTCATCCAGGAGTCGCTTATCCGGGGATCAGAAGTTAGCCACTACCTAGTCTGGGTCCAGATTTATTTGGATACATATTGGAATGTGGTTGAAGAGCTGCATGTCCAAAATGTTGGTTTGTGTGAGCTTTGACAGAAGTAGCTTAGAGGCTTGGAAAAAGCCGAATCAAGACAGAGCCTTGTGTGCTTTAGAGGTGTGGATAAAGTTATTTTCTGTCTGATTAAGGAACTGAAGGGGTCGACTAGATGACGCTGGGATATTATATTTGGAGGAGTCTTTGTAGAGTATTTTGCTCTGCAGTGGTAGCGTGGAATTTATTGAGGGCAGGGTTTAGAACCAAACTTACAGTTCTTACCCACTATGATTTTCCCCATTCTCTTCTCAATCAGTGCAGAGTTAATGGCTCAAAAGAAAGCTGTCTCTGGTGTGGACCAATCAGTTTCAAGGACAATCCATACATTATCAGAGTATGTCTTTTGTTTGCATTCTGACCACAAGCATTGTGGTTAATGCAGACATGATTCCTTGTAAAAGGTTTCAGTTTGGTGTTTTAACATCTTAACACCTGTTTTGTTGCCAGAAAAAAGAGGAAAATCTATTCTTGGTTCTTTCGGTAAAGTCACGTAGAAGGGAAATAATAAAATAATAAAAAGAAAACATAATAAAATAAAATTCTCACGACGTTTTGGTCACAACGCAAGCAGCCGTCCTCAGGTGAAGAATGGAGCTGTCGAAAAGACAGCGTCCAAATGAACACTGCTAAGCTTGGCAGCGTATTTTAAGCTGGGTGGAAGGAGGAGAGCGCCTTGACAAAGGAGTTTACATATCAACAGAGGAATTTAGCATATTGATGACAAATGCAGATATGGGGCTAGTCACTCCTTGTCGAATGCGTAGGCAGTGGGGGGTCTCAAAGTCATATTATGCTAGTGTATTATGTAGGATTAGCAGTAATAAAGGGAGGGAAATTTTAATAATAAAGAACTGCAGATCAAGCTAGTGCATTATGTGGAGAACAAAAAATGAGTTTCTAAAGAACTACCATACAATAAACCGATGTGAAAAAACTAAATATAAACTACATCAATATAATCAATGTACTCAATATACTCTCCAATAAGCTGAGCTGTTAACATTAAGTAACTGGGTATACACTACACTATATAATGACTACCATATAGTAAACTGATAAAAAACTAAAATATAAACTACATCGATATAATTAATAAACTCAACATACTCTCCAATAAGTCGAGTTACTAACAATAAGTCATTATACATTACACTTCTATATCTACAAAAGTGGCAGGGGGAAATTAACTTGGAAACATAGACTAGTACCTGCAGATATGATAGACGCAACCATAAAGCAGTTAAGGTTTTACCTGATTAATAACATCCTTCCAATGATTGCTCAATTTGTATTCATCTTGTTGGTTGAAGTTATGTCTATGTTTATATATCAGCAAAAACATTTTCTTGCTGTGGTTTTCCCACCTGATGATGATTGCTGTGTTGCAATCGAAACGTCGTGATTTGTTTTGTTTTATTTTATTTCTAACTACGTGACTTTACCGAAATAATCAAAGAGCTTCAAATCATCTTGCCCCAGCCTACATCATTGACATACTGCACCCATGTCCCCTCAAGATTGCTAATATTTGGGGATGTAGATCTTATTCTTGAAAACCACAGCAATACATTTTTGCTGTGGTTTTCACACCTGATGATGATTGCTTGTGTTGCAGTCGAAACGTTGTGATAATTTTTTGTTTTATATTTTTATTATTTTATTGTTTCCCTTCTACGTGACTTTACCGAAAGAACCAAGAATATGAATCCCTGCAGTCACGAAAGTTTTAAATCAAGATGTAGATCTTGTCTGCATTCCCAGGTCGAGGTTTCGGTCTATGGGTGAACAAGCTTTTTCCTGTGTCATCCCCAGGCTATGAAATGCTCTTCCACGAGATATCAGGATCTCTGAGTATGTGGACATTTTTTTTTAATGCGACTTAAAACCAATTTATATGCTTCCGCTTATTGAACTTTTAGGCTATTTAGTAAATGGATTATAATATAACTATTTTCATGCTGAGTGTCTGCGGCTGCTGTGTCCTATACAGTGCTTTGAGATCCTTGATGAAAAGCCCTAAGAAATTGAATGATTATATTGTTGTTGATGTTGATTGAAAGTAGGCGTTTTGAAAATCTCATTGGGAAAGGAAAAGCAACAAATCCATATCGCTTTCAATTAACTTAGCTTATACCCCCTGCAAATGAGTGTTAGTATATTTGAAATTTAAGTGGAATTTACCTTAATCTATTCACATTTTACATGTTTTAAAATGTATTGTACGTTTTTTTATCAAATGTATTGTTCTGAATTTTGTCATGGCAATCAAGGTCGCCCTTGCAAACGAGGCAATGCTTCATGTGTCTCAATGGCTTTAGTCATCTCCTGCTTAAATAAGGCTACAAGTATACAACATACATGCAGTATTTGCAAACTAACTAAACATACTTACTACATACTTGGGTCATTTGTGTAAAAGAGCTTATGGCTGAACGTCAATTACCCGCATCAACAAATATAACCAATCAATAAATCAACCAAACATACATACACACGCACTCACCACTCTCATGCCGGTCTGTGTAGACATACAACTAGAACAGAGGGATCCAGTCCAGGATCCGGTCTGTGTTGTCGCATCCTGAGCTCCCATGTCTTTCTTAATACCCTTCTGCAGATCCTGCATTTACAGATGGTCATTTTACAAGAAGAGTTAACAACAGATCATAAACGTGATAGAATCAATATAAAATTGTACATCCCTTTGTCTATCCATTGCTGGTGGTAAAGAATAATATTGTAAGTGTGAGCCAAGTGCTTCTTAACTTAGCCTGCATCCTCCCCTGGCCTTCCTTACCATGCCTCACCAAACAACTTCTGCTTCAAATTCCTAGCCTGTCTATGGCATCTTCAGTTTGAGCACTTATCTACATATCCTTCATTTACTCGAATTCTGCTGCTGCCTCAACTACAACTGTATTAAAGCATTCCTGGAGTATCTCTGCTTCTAGCTCTGTCACACCTCATGGGCATTTAGCTTTGCTGTATTAAAGGGGCACAGGAAGGAAATCAGAGAGAAACTATCGCATGACAAAACTACTTATTGGTAGAAGCCAGCAGAGCAGATGGAAGATGCTAACAATAACAGGGATAACAAGAAGTTATTCTATATGGTTATTTGATCATTTGGTACGACAGACATGGTCTGATCTTGCAGTGCCCGTCACGACACATGACAGGGAATTTTGGACATTTGAACACGTAGGCTTTCGCGACCAATATTATTCATAATAAAGGTTTTTGGGTTAGATCGCGTTATTTATAAATGTGTCATAACCCTCCAGCACCCGACACGGACAATCAGCAAAAAAGTGTCACATTGACAAAAGACAAATAGTTCACTACTTTAGCCCACCAGTGTGTTGAAGAGTGAATCCACAACATTTACAGTTTGAGTATGACGTTTCGCTGGTAATTACATCCAGCATCATCGGGCAATTCGCCAGAATGGAAAAACCCTCGCTTGCTCCCAGTCTTAAATAGAGCAGCAGGGTGACATCATTATTTAACTCATTTCAGGTGCAGTGATTTGAGGTGGAGGGGGGGGGGTATTGTAATTATATAATCGATTGGTAATCAGTCAATGGTTATGATTAGTAATGAGTTGTAGATTAGTAATTAGTTGTAATGTGTTATTGTGATTATATGCTACGTTAGTAATCCGTTAATTAGTATGTGTTTCCCCTATAAGGAATTGTAATATGTATTGTAATAGGTTTTAACCCTTTTAATTGGCACAAAAAAAAAAACTGACACCTTTATTCAAGGCATCATGTTTGCAATAACCACAACACAAGCAGTCAAAATGCAAACAAAAGAGACAACTCTGATAATAATATGCACTGTCCTTGAATTTGATTGGTCCACACCCGAGACGGCTTTTCTTAGAGCCTAGTCTCCACTGGTGTTCGACCAGATCATGCCAAAAGGCATGCCAGTTAAAAGGGTAAAATCTATTACTATATCTTGTTACTGGCAAAGGAGGTCTCATAATGTAATATGTATTATTTAATAATACGCTTCCAAGCCGCACTAAGCCTGTAGCTGTCAGAGCGATTAAAGTTATTTCTATTCCTCTCATTTTCAATGGATTCTCTAATTAGTCTTTGCCAATAATAATTAGTTTTACACAACACTTCGACGTTATCAAAATCAATGGAGTGTCCTTGCTGACAAGCATGTTCTGCCACTGCCGACAGTTGTGTTTGAGATAATTTAATATTTCTTTGATGTTCTTTTAGTCTTAAGAATATAGGGCAGGAACCAGTTATGAATGGCATTGGGGTAGAACACCCTGTGAAAGAGGGAATGGTAGCAGTATGGTAGGCATGGGGTTAGGGTTGATTTGACGACCCTGACCTATTTAATCCACCGTTACCTGCTCGGGAGCTTCCTGACGGCCGTAGCTTGTGATCAGACGCTCCCACAGCCAGCGTGCAGCCAGGCTAACGGACACAGAGGAGCCATTGATGTCTCTGTCTGGGGGAGCGACCCCCCCCCTCCACCATTCGGATGCTCCCGACACAAACCTCTCCACTGTCAGTAGCAGCAGTACCAGCCTGAAGATCATATAACACCACCACCATCAAGTGTTAAACGAAGCTGCCTTGTGTCCTATCCTTTCAGCTCCATCTCCTACACACTGAACAGGATGTTTTGCTTTCTACTTGACATTGCTGAGGATACGCAGGTGGCCAAGTCGACCATTGACCAAAGATGCTAAGCCAGCACCAGCGTGGTCTGGGGATGAGGGTTCTCATTACCAGTTCAGTTATCACTCATCACTAACAATAATAGGTTTTGCCCTTTCTGGCAATAAGATAGGTGTTAGGATGTTCAAACACCAAATAGATACCTTTTTGCAAGGCATCAGGTCTGCATTAACCACACATACCTGTGGTAAAAACATCCAAACATGCTCCGATTATAATATATGCATTGTCTTTGAAACTAATTGAGCAACACCAGGGATAGCCTCCTTTACAGCCTTGTCTACTCTTATTTTGATACTGGCAAAAAAGGTCCCATATATATAAATGCTCAACCCGAGCTATAAATGCTCTTATACTTGCGTTATCTTTGTATTATGCACCTTTTGGTGGTCTCTGGTCTAACACTGGTGGGATCACTCTCCCTGTGAAGTTGCATTTAACACCATAAAATAGATTTGACTCACGGTGTCAAATCTGGAGGGTGTATTACTCTTATAAGAAAATGTTATCTGCAGCAGCGACCCTTACCCTAACACAACAGCCTCCACCCAATGTCCACACCTGTCCACAATGAGCTCCAGTAGCAATGTGAGCTCACGGGTGCCATCCTGATTTTGCTCCTCCACCTCCAACTCCTGCTGCAGCAGCGCGGGTAGGTCGAGGTGCCAAGCCGGGCGGTCGGGGTAGCGCCAAGACGGGCAGGTGTGGACACCGGTTCTTGATGCGACAGAGATGAGGAGGCCCTGCAGCTCTGTGAGATCACGACGCAGAGTAACGCAGCGCAGCTCTGTGCTGTCCATATCAGTCATGGCCGTTGGTGGCTGGGGTGGGGTTGGAACAAGGAGAGAGTAAAAGCCTCAACATTGCATAATGTTTTGATTTAAAGCTTTCGTGACTACAGTAATTCATATTCTTAGCTCTTTCGGTAAAGTCACGTTGAAGGGAAACAATAAAATAATAAAATATATATAAAACAATAACAATTCTCACGACTTTTGATTTAAAGCTTTCGTGACTGCAGTAATTCATATTCTTAGTTTTTTCGGTAAAGTCACGTTGAAGAGAAACAACAAAATAACAAAATATATATAAAACAATAAAAAATTCTCACGACGTTTCGACCATAACTCAAACGGTCATCATCAGGTGTGTCGGTTTGCATAAATTTATTTTGAAAACGGCATATTTATTTATATATATAAAAATAACGTTTGCGTCACGCGCAACGATGGCAGTTTGCCAGGACTAGTCCATCTATTTTTTGAAAAGAGGAGGGGGGAGACGAAATTTGTTTTTTATGTATGCTGTCTGAAAGGCACTGTAAGCGTGAACAATCAATCAAGAACTGAAATGATTTATCAAATCTTTCCAATGATTGCTAAGATAGAATCCATCTTCTCGGTTGAAATTGTCTCTGTGCTTGTATATGTAGATAGCCTCATGAACGAATCTCTCATGGAAGCCAGATGGCTTACAAAGAACCTCTGTCTTGGAAAAGTCAATATCATGTGAGCCTACTGAATTATAACAATGATCTGCCACGGCCGAGGTGTTGGTCCTACCGTGTTTAAGGTCTGCTTTGTGTTCACGAATGCGGTCCGATACATGGCGTTTGGTTTCTCCAATGTAACTACTACCACAGAGGCAACTTAGTTTGTAGACACCAGGGTATTGTATGTCCGGAATCACATCTTTTACAGACAGAACCAGATCACGGATTTTATGTAATGTGTTGAAACGGACCTGGATCTTGTGTTTATTCAAGATTTTGGAAATCTTTTTTGTGATCCCCGCAATGTAGGGTAAAGTGATGGTTTTGAAAAGCTCCTCAAGAGGGTCCTTCTTCATGGTTTGAGTGATAGCTTTGCGGATTGTATAGTCAGAGTAACCATTAGCCTTAAGAGCTTGGTGTATGTGCTTGAGTTCACTGCCTATGTGTTCCTGGTCGGATATGCATTGGGCTCTATGGTACAGAGTCTTGATGAGAGAATTCTTCTGTGATGGATGGTGGTGGGAATCCGGTTTCAGATAAGCATCCGTATGGGTAGCTTTCCTGTAGACAGAGTGGCTCATTGAACCATCAGGTCTCTTTTTTATTAGTACATCCAAAAAAGGTAGCTTGCCATCTTTTTCGACTTCCATGGTAAATCTGATGGCTGGGTGTATGGAATTGATGTGCTCGAAGAATTGGTCTAGAGCAGGCCGGCCATGTGGCCAGATGACAAAAGTGTTATCCACGTACCTCTTCCATAAGGTTGCGCGCAGAGTGGCAGTCTGGATGGCGTCAGTCTCAAATTTCTCCATGAAAATGTTAGCTATAACCGGAGATAGGGGGGAGCCCATTGGGGTGCCCTCAGTTTGTAGAAAGTTCCATTCCAAGTGAAGTATGTATTGGTTAAACAGTGTCTCACCAGGGGGGGGTACCTCAGTGTTTAGTCCTTGATGAACCAAGTCTTCAATGATTGCGATGGTGTCAGGTACAAGAACCTTGGTGAATAAGGAAACTACATCAAAACTGACAAGCAGGTCGTCTGGGAACAGGGAAATACCCTTGATTGTCGATACCAGGTGAGTAGAATTTTGTACCGCAGAGGTGGTTTTTCCAGTGAAAGGACGCAGAATTTCAGACAAAAAACGAGCCAGTTTGTAGGTGGGGGAGTTGATAGTAGAGACGATGGGACGAAGGGGTGTATCTACTTTATGTATTTTTGGTAAGCCGTATAATCTTGGTGGCCTGGCAGCAGAAGGTTTAAACGAAAACTGTTTAGATTGATCAATTAATGCGGTTGAATCCGAAATTATTTTGTTGGTTTGTGTGACGAGGCTGTTGGTGGGATCTCTTTCTATTTTTGTATAACTACCATCGTCGAGTAATTCTTTAATTTTGTTGTTGTATTCCATTTTATCCATGATGGCAGTAGCATTGCCCTTGTCAGCTGAGAGGACTACAATATCATCCCTCTTTTTTAATTTATTTAATTCAAAAAGCTCATCTTTGCTGAGGTTGCTAGCTGGCATCTTAGCGTTTTTTAGGGTTGCAGCGATTTCAGATCTTGCTACGTCTGCAGCGATGTGACCCAGGCCCCTGAGAGCAACGTCTACTTGGGCAATTATATCATTAACTGGTATGTGTTTAGGTGTGACTGCAAAGTTTAGACCTTTAGCTAAAACGGATTTCAGACCATCGGAAATAGAACTGTTACTACGATTAATTACGACTTTGTTAACGTCTAACTTTTTGGTGTGTGGGTCCGGTCCTTAAACACAGCAGGACCAACACCTCGGCCGTGGCAGATCATTGTTATAATTCAGTAGGCTCACGTGATATTGACTTTTCGAAGACAGAGGTTCTTTGTAAGCCATCTGGCTTCCATGAGAGATTCGTTCATGAGGCTATCCACATATACAAGCACAGAGACAATTTCAACCTAGAAGATGGATTATGGCTTAGCAACCATTGGAAAGATTTGAATAACCATTTCAGGTCTTAATTGATTGTTCACGCTTACAGTGGCTTTCAGACAGCATACATACATTTTTCGTCTCCCCCCTCCTCTTTTCAGAACATAGATGGACTCATCCTTCTAAATAAACTGCCAAATCGCTGCGCGTGGCGCTGACGTTTTTTTTAAATAAAGAAATACACCGTTTAAAAATAAATTAATTAATGCAAACCGACACACCTGATGACAACCGTTTGTGTTATGGTCGAAACGTCGTGAGAATTTTTTATTGTTTTATATATATTTTATTATTTTATTGTTTCCCTTCAACGTGACTTTACCGAAAGAGCTAAGAATATTGCAGAATGTAATTTATATTTTTTCTTTTGTTTGTATGTTGAACTTCTTTTGCCCCGTACATAGCCAACCGTGCTAATTGTAAGTGTGTGGTAAGGACAACAAACTAAACACAAAAATCAGTTCTAAAGAATGTGTTTGTAATCCAGATTTAAAAGTGGATAGCTCCAGTGGCTTCCTAATATCGGAAGAGTGTTCCAGACAGCTGCAGAAGCGCATTCAAAAGCACGCGATAAAGTGACTGTATTTGTTTGATGGTTAGCCAAAAGCCGCTGCGAGGATGACCGGAGTTTGTGATAGTTTATGCTCCTAGACGAGATCAGCATGGTATTGTGGTTCATTTGTGGCAAGCACTTTGTGTGTAATGCATGCGACCTCATAACGTATTCGTTTGGCAACCGGAAGCCAATGCAGCTCGGCAAGCATTAGACAGACATGGTCTGATCTTGCAGTGCCCGTCACGACACATGCCAGAGAATTTTGGACATTTTAACACGTAGGCTTTCGCGACCAGTATTATTCATAATAAAGGTTTTTGGGTTAGATCGCGTAAGTATAAATGTGTCGCAACCCTCCACCACCCGACACAATCAATCAGTAAGAAATGTGTCACGTTAACAAACCTACACACCTGATGACGACCGTTTGTGTTATGGTCGAAACGTCGTGAGAATTTTTATTGTTTTATATATATTATTATTTGATTGTTTCCCTTCAACGTGACTTTACCGAAAGAGCTAAGAATATTGCAGAATGTAATTTATATTTTTTCTTTTGTATGTATGTTGAACTTCTTTTGCCCCGTACATAGCCAACCGTGCTAATTCTAAGTGTGTGGTAAGGACAACAAACTAAGAATAAAAACGCCAATTAGTTTCTTCTTCAGCCCACCGGTGTGTTTGACGTGTGAATCCACAACATTTACAATTTGAGTAGGATGTTTCACTGGTAATTACATCCAGCATCTTTGGGCGATTTTACAGAATCTTCGGACAAATCGCCTGATGCTGGTAATTACCAGCGAAACGTCGTACTCAAATTGTAAATGTTGTGGATTCACTCTTTAGCATCTTCGGGCAAATCTTATTGGCAAAAAAGTTGCAAGTACTCTGCACAGACCTGGTTGACTAGTTGATGGGTGGTTGGAGTGCAGCAGCCCCTTGCGTTATTTACCCTATGCATTGTCAATACTTCTATTGAAGCCATTTTTTTATGGCTGCTTGTGTTTTATTCCATTAATTGTATCCCAATTGTGATATAAGTGTCATGCCACGAGTTGCACAATTCATTATAGAATTTAGCATCATCCTGTAACGAACTTGTTGGGCAAAGTCTTTGGAAGTTTAATTACAGTACAGGTAGTCCCCGATAACCACAATGCGTTCTTGAAATTATTCGTGGACGAAATCGTGTAAATTGAACACTGATTTCCCGTAAGAAATAATGTAAATAGGGGGTATTGCATTCAAAGCCCCCAACTTGATCGACAAATTCATCATTGTTACCGATTTATTATGACTATATTTTGGTCAATGCTTTTTATTGTTGCATTTTTATGTATATTTTCATGAATAACATTAAAAAGGGAAAAGAAACAATGATTAAGGTAACCTAATGTAAAGAATACCGTAGTCTGCGTATGTGAGCTGAGATAAGTGGAGGATAAAGACAAAATGTAAGAATAGAAAACGTATAAGTGCAGCAGGGGTGTTGTGCACCAATGCCGTTACCACTTTTCTTCCTTGTACTTGTGTAGTGATTGGGAATGTCACTGTGTGGTGCCGGGCCTGCGAGGCCACGGCGGGATGTATACTGTTGTGTGTATTTATTTGGTATAGCCCTGTGAGCCATTCGGCTCTTGAATCGGGTGCAACCGCAACAAACAAAAAACATGAACAAGAAAACATCTTAAAGTGATTATGTGACTGTGCAAACAGAAAATACAGGAAAAAAATATCAAAATATTCCTGAAATAGCAACGTACACCAACGCTGTGTGCAAAAATCCCAGTGGGATGCAAGTCAAATAACAACAAGACAACTAAGATTAAGGCCATCAGTCTAACTCCGTACTACAATAAACAAAAACATGGCCAAAACAAAAAAAACTTTTCGAAATCACCAAAATAAAAGCCATAAATCCAATGTAACAGTGATCATAGGGACTGTGACCGAATTTTGAACAATAAACTACATAAATAAATTATAACACCCAAAAATAGAGCCATATTTTAGGCCACTGAATAGCAGTGGCAGCTAGGGTTGTACAACTCCTCTAGAGACGGGGGGCAGTCTCCCCAACACTAGTATAGGAAGTCATGTTGACCTAATGACTGTTAATTGCATGTTTTTTTTTATTCATAAAAAGCACAATTGTGTAATCTCCATTCCAATCCTGTATTTGGAATTGATCGTGGTGTTGGTGTCAACTCCATTTCATACCAAAAATGCCAGGACAGTAATCGATTCCAAAACTTAACAAACGGCATCGGGAATTAATTATTCTGTAATCGACTCCCCAACCTTAACTTTATGTACAAAGCCACCAAAGATCCCCGTATAGCCTTAACGAATTGCTGGGGAAAATGCTTTTAGCGAGCACCTATGAAGGACAGCACTACGCCCGGTCGCCTTTGTCTCCCCAGTGGCGATGTTTAAACACCGCACCAGGTGCTCAATTGAGGCTGGTTGAGGACTCTTAGGATATTTATTTTAACGAGCACCTATGAAGAGCAACACAAAACACGAGGGGGTGGCCACCACTCCCGGCCGCCTTTGTTTCCCCCTAGGGGAGGCTCAGATAATCATCACCGGTCTTGGCCGTGAGCGAGAATGAAACTTTGGTTCGTAGTACTGCGCTCTAACCGTCACGCTACACAAATGCATGGACATAGTGAACGCTGTAAACTATAAAGTCCAGGACACTGCCTGCCGCGAATGATTCCGATATTTTTTTTCGAACAAGCAAATAAACTGCTCTGCACTGAAAATACGACTCGTCATTGTGAACATGTCGAATTCATCCCGCAGCAGCTGTTAATGAACTCTGCTGCAGTCGTGTTGGGCCTAGGCTGACCGGGTTTGGGCTGCGCTATGACCCCATGCCAACCCGGAATCTCGCGGTGGTGACGGCTTCGTGTCTCCCGAGCTCTGAATTATATCCACGGCATCGCAGGGCTGATAGACTGCGTGGGATTGTATACGTCTTCATCCACCAGTGGACAGAACATGTTCCCGATTTACAAACTGCACAAATTATACCCGTACACTGTACATACAGTACTCGGGCTGTGAAACTTTCCGCTCTGCACTGTAGCTACCGTATTTTCATACCAAACGTTCGTTAAACTGGTCAGCATACCGTAACATAGCATCTTAAGGTATACGAACATTTGCGTTAAATACGTAAATATAGCAATTGTCTTTAAAACTATGAAACATGCAGCAAAGTTGAACATTGGCCTTACCTGCTGCTGCGCGAAGTGTTGCCATGGAGACGACGCGTTGCTAAGCTGACGTCACCTATCAACGACACTACGTCACCGCCCTCCCGGCGGTCGTGTTGATGAGCAGGGGATTGGTTAAATGTTAATAACGTTATGAGCATTAATACTGCATCAATACATAGACATACTGTATACATATTCATTCGCGTCGTTATAGCGTGTACAAGCAACACAAATAACGAGACATTTCGCCTCCACATATCTGACGTCTCATCAACCACACGACCTTCTGGGAGGGCGTAATTTCAGCAGCATATCTTCACATACTGGACATCATATTCTTAGTTTTTTTCGGTAAAGTCACGTTGAAGAGAAACAACAAAATAACAAAATATATATAAAACAATAAAAAAATTCTCACGACGTTTCGACCATAACTCAAACGGTCATCATCAGGTGTGTCGGTTTGCATAAATTTATTTTTAAAAACGGCACATTTATTTATTTATAAAAAACGTTGGCGTCACGCGCAGCGATTGACAGTTTGCCCAGGACTAGTCCATCTATTTTTTTGAAAAGAGGAGGGGGGAGAAGAAATTTTTTATAATGTATGCTGTCTGAAAGCCACTGTAAGCGTGAACAATCAATCAAGAACTGAAATGATTTATCAAATCTTTCCAATGATTGCTAAGATATAATCCATCTTCTCGGTTGAAATTGTATCTGTGCTTGTATATGTGGATAGCCTCATGAACGAATCTCTCATGGAAGCCAGATGGCTTACAAAGAACCTCCGTCTTGGAAAAGTCAATGGCATGTGAGCCTACTGAATTAGAACAATGATCTGCTACGGCCGAGGTGTTGGTCCTACCGTGTTTAAGGTAGGACCAACACCTCGGCCGTAGCAGATCATTGTTCTAATTCAGTAGGCTCACATGCCATTGACTTTTCCAAGACGGAGGTTCTTTGTAAGCCATCTGGCTTCCATGAGAGATTCGTTCATGAGGCTATCCACATATACAAGCACAGATACAATTTCAACCGAGAAGATGGATTCTATCTTAGCAATCATTGGAAAGATTTGATAAATCATTTCAGTTCTTGATTGATTGTTCACGCTTACAGTGGCTTTCAGGACAGCATACATTATAAAAAATTTCGTCTCCCCCCTCCTCTTTTCAAAAAAATAGATGGACTAGTCCTGGGCAAACTGCCAATCGCTGCGCGTGACGCCAACGTTTTTTTATAAATAAATAAATGTGCCGTTTTTTAAAATAAATTTATGCAAACCGACACACCTGATGATGACCGTTTGAGTTATGGTCGAAACGTCGTGAGAATTTTTTATTGTTTTATATATATTTTGTTATTTTGTTGTTTCTCTTCAACGTGACTTTACCGAAAAAACTAAGAATATGAATTACTGCAGTCACGAAAGCTTTAAATCAAAAATATACTGGACATCATTGAAAAAAAAGCTTTATAGCTCATCGGATTCCTCCAATATAAATATTCTCATTCTAAAACTGATCATGCACTCACAAAAGGTCGTGTGGCTGATGGAATGTGTTGGAAAAAATGTGGAGGGCCATATACGCGAAGGCATAATGTTTACCTATGTATTGTAGAGTGTATGGGTCAACAAAGGTCAACTTAATGCTGTGGTAGGTCAAATCGTAATAGAGGAGCACGGGATTGGCCAAGTAATCCAACAGTAAATCAATTGGTGGACGGTTGGGGGCGGCCAAAGAACAGGATTAGTGAAAACTTTTGAGAACAAGAGGTTAGGGATGAAACAGATGATAACAAGAGGGGGAGGGGTGACGTGATCACGGGGCTCGTATGACGCGACTTCCCACGAGTGTGCGTGTGGAGAACGGGATAGCGTTCTTCTTCGGTTCTTTCGGTAAAGTCACGTAGAATGATAATAAAATAATAAATTGATAAAATAAAATAACACAATAATATTCTCATGACGTTTCGGCCACAACACAAGCGGCCTTCATCAGGTGAAGGGGGCGAGACTGTCTGGTAGGACAGCGCTGGAGTGAAAGAGCCACGTTCAGATACGGCCTTTTAAGCTGTGTGAGAGGAACAAAGCGCCTTAGAGTCACGGCATCTCTTCAGAAAGGTGAGAGACTCGATTAGCGTTTCCCTTACCAGGATGTCGCGTCGTATTTACTCCCACGACCACTGCCAGCCCATATGCACGGGACATTGGTTAAGTGAATTGGAAGTTATTTTTATGTCTTGCTATTCATGTCTTAATTACACTCGCTGGTCTACAACTGCAATAATATAAAATATCAACATTAACACTATGCCTACATCAACGATTTGAAAGAACATGAACAATATTTACATAGCAACATTAACAATACGATTCGTGTCCATATAAACAACGTCATAAAACAGCAATGTTAATGTTCATATGAACAGCACGTGTAAACAACCTTAGCAACATCTGGACTATTTTACAACCACAAATGAGCTACAATATAAGCACATCACAATCTTAATAACCACAGGCTCGCTGAGAGGTCATGAGACAGACCAAGGGCGAACAAGCATTATTTTCGCAGCATGGCACTCCGCTCGTTGTTGTGAGCGTTGTTCCTATGTTGTTGGAGGGCGGTTGCCTCCAACATCCCAGAAGCATCCTTTAAGAGTACAACCACTACAAGCACATAACCAGAACCACATAAAGCACAATAACCACATAACAATAACCACCAACTAGAACCATAACTACCACATTACAACCACTATATAAGCGCAATATAACCACAACCAAAACATAAGTATAACTATATTATGACCATAACCATAAGCACATTCTAACTGCAACCATAATTACATAACTATAATATAACAACCATTATTAACGCGTAACCATAAACACATTCCAACCACAACCATATGCACATTATAATCGTAACCATAACTGCGGCACGTGCGAGAGAAGCTGGCACGATGGGATATGTCCCGGCCAAACTTGGACCATACCAACTAAGCTTCCGAGCAATGGGAGGTGGACACAAGCAATGGCTAATAAACACACGTTATTTGCCCGTTTTAGAAGGTTAATTCAATACATCAATGTTATGGACGTTTTGATGAGGGCATTCTTCTGGGCTGGATGGTAATGGTGATGGGAATCAGGCTTTAGATAGGAATCAGTGTGGGTGGCTTTCTTGTAGACAGAATGTCCCAACGAGCCATCAGGTCTCTTCTCGATCAAAACATCTAGGAATGGTAGTTTGCCATCATTTTCCACTTCCATGGTGAATTTGATAAATGGGTGTATGGAATTGATGTGGTTGAAAAATTGGTTCAGTGCTGGCTGGCCATGTAGCCAGATGACGAACGTGTCATCTATGTGTAGTGACGTCGGAGACTGTTGACTTGAGGCAACACGTATTTATTACAGATACTTCAATTACAGTAGCGACCCTGCCACTCAGAGGTAACGGCCTCTTCACACGTGCTCTATAGATGGAAGTGTTCCACGAGCTTAAGCCCACGCTAGCTCCCTACTTCCCTCTACCCCAGTCCTCTCTCGGGAGGCTATCTGACCTGCCCAGCTTCGGCGCAGGTCTCGATCACCAGCCACACGAGTCCGGCCCTCAGAAGGTCATCGGCCCTCGCGGCTCTGGTGTCGCACTCTGGCTTGCTTTGCCCGGCCCTGAAAAGGGCAGCGAGTCAAAGGAGTTCCAGGGTCTGGCTAGTCGGTCTTCTTTCTTCACTGGCTCTTAATCCTGGCTGGGTCAAACTGAACTCTCAGCTCTCTGGGTCGCACCTTTTATACTGTTTCTCACTGAGGGGCAGGGCTGGGAGGGTTCACAGCATCCCCCACAGCCCCCCAGGGTGGTGGCCTTAACGGACGTCTTTGTGGCCACCGTTATATAATTGCGTGTCACCCTCCCGTAACACCCCTACATATGTATTGTGATGCCGCAGCAGCGAAGCCGTTCTGCCGACGCCGTGGCCGCGACGCCGCCACCTCCGAGCGACGGGGCCGATGCTGCTCTTCCCTCACCACCCCCCACATGAACACACACACACACCCCTACATAGGGCTCTGAGGGGAGGTCACCTGGCCGACAGGTTTTCACCCAGAAGCCCTCTCACGGTTTCCTGCGGCCAGGGAATTGGGCGATCTCCCCCGAGGCTAACTCGCACCGCGGCGCCGTGACTTGGGTTGTAATTACATGGTCACGACGGGGCTGCTCAGCCGCCGCGGGTAGAAACACACGGCACACACAAGTCAGCAGGCAGGTAGGGGGGCGGAGCCACGAACGGCGGGAAAACAGGGCCGGCCCTCTGATTGGTAGGATAAATGTGCTTGTGCACCAATGCAGCAGCCCCGCGGTCGTCCCTTTTGATGTAGAAGGTAAAGTGCAGACGTCTGAGAGAGCACCGGTCCGGGGAGAGTGGCGGGAAATCCGAGCCACCTGATTGGCTGGGAAGGTCAGCGGATCAGCGCCAAATTCTCTTTGATGTAGAGAACAATAAAAGGCGAGAGAAGGTAGGGATAGGAGAGTCATGTTTTTTCTCAAGTCAGGGATCAGAGGAGTCACCTTGCCGGCCACTGGATCGTCCGTGAGACGAGTCTCAGCACAGCCAGGCCCCGCTCCCCGCGAGAACTTTGTGCAGCCTCACCTCTCCACGGCTTCCAGCACATCCAAGCCGAACCGTGAGTATGCAATAGATAGTTTGGATTTATCGTAAGATCCTAGGGAGTTTAATTCCAAGAAGACGAGGTAGATTGGGTTTAGACCATCGGGAGATAGGTTGGACCTGCCCTGCTGACTCAGACTGATTCGGGTAATAGTAGCTCGCAGACACGCCGGGAATAAATCGTTAGTGATCGATAACAGCCTCGTGTGGTTTCTACGAGTGAGGAAAGTGCGTGGTGGTGTGTGTGCGCTCGCCGTAACGCGTTTGGTCGATGCGCGGTGTCACGGTAGAAGAAATGCCGCGCCCGAAGGACTCCGCGAGTGCGCGCTTCGTCCTGTGACCCCGGACTCCCGCGCTGCGTGCGGGCTAACACCAATCCCGAATATCTGCCCCCACAGCTCTTTAAATCATCTCCAATACAACCCCCCCAACCGGCTACGCGTGTACGAGTGACGTCTTTACCCTCTGACCCCTGACCCCCTGTTCAGCATGTGTGAGTGGTGCGCGGGGTTGTGCGAGCGGAGACGTCGCGTTTGAGTGGCTGAGAAGCGACGGATTGATTCCCGGCAGCCGTGTGCCAGCCCCGAGCTATGCCCCACAAACAGAACTCGTGGACCCGAGGGGCTGCGGCGCGAGGAGAGGAGCCGGAGAGTGGCAGCCCTCTTCCCCGCGAGCGAGGAGTTGAGTAGCGGTGGCACTCACACGAGCGAAGAGTCCGGAGCCCGCAGCCCTCCCGAGATCAGGCTTCCCCCGGAGGGGGGAGCCGGGGGTCCGCGTCCCCCCACATATCTCTTCGACAAGGAAGGACGTAGGGTGGATATCTGGATGGCATCTGTCTCAAATTTCTCCATGAAAACATTTGCTACCACTGGTGATAAAGGAGAACCCATAGGGGTACCTTCATTTTGTTTGTAATATGTACCATTACAGGTGAAGTGTTGGTTAGGCAGTGCCTCACCAAAGTTGGTACATCAGGATTCAGTCCCTGTTGGACCAAGTCTTCAATGATTGCAATGGTGTCAGGCACAGGTACCTTGGTGAACAGAGAGACTACATCTAAACTGACAAGCAAATCATCTGGAGATAGCGAGATGTCCTTGATTAGAGAAATCAGGTGAGCTGAGTTAAGTGCAGCTGAGGTGGTCTTGCCCGTGAATGGGAGCATTGCCTCAGACAGAAATCGGGCCAATTTGTAGGTGGGTGAGTTAATGGTAGATACACACATTAAAAAACTAGATGTTAACAAGATTGTTATCAATCAGAGTAACAGCCCAATTTCCGAGAGCCTAAAATCCCCTTGAGATAGCAAACACCATGAGGGAAGAGGGGGGGGGGCAACCAAGCAGCTGCAACCATAGAATGAAATAAAGGGGATTGAGTTTTTGCGAGAGACGCGCAGAGGGGGGAGAATTTCAGATATAAGCAAGGACACAGAACACGCAATGTAGTCTTGCTACGGCAAGCTCCGAGGGGTGGGCCCCACAATCGACCATGGATGACGAGGCTTGCAGAGGAGCGATGTGTCGCCGAGTGCGAGTTCGGTGCTCACAGACGAAGTATCGCTAAAAGTTGTATTCTACATTGAGTGCCAACTCCCACCAGCAGCTGCAGCAAGAGAGAGAGAAAGAGTGACGAGCAATGACAAGCAATCAACCTGGAGAAAGGTGGAAAGCGCCAAGCATCGACTAAGTGAGCATCGCACAGGACCAGCAGTAGCAGCGGCTAACGACTAACCACGAGCGTGTGGACTCGGAAGCCGAGCACTCCTGCAAAGGTCGAGTCTACAAGGATCAACCGTGCCTGGTGCAAGGGAGAGAGCATGACCGGCACAACCGAGAAAGAGTGTCGGCACTGGCAAAGGCGCCGGGTGTTCGACACACACATCGACGCAGCGCAACCGAGTGTCGGCGCTCGCGACCAGCGGACGAGCTGGGAGCGCTATCGGGCACCGCCAAAGGCGATCATCGTGCCGACTCAACAATCATCCAGCAGTGGAGAAGCCTGGAGCTACCACCGAGAGAACGCCGTGTGTATGACACGCCCACACACACACTACTCATCGCCCAGCAGGGAACCGAGATATTCTCGGTAAAAGGAAAGCCCCACCTCGGCGCCCGCTTAACTCAAAGAGTTTAGCACGAAGACAATTAACTATTAGCTGATTGTGGAAAACATTGTTCGGTCCATTGAACTGTAGAGGCCGACCAAAATTCGGTTTCGATTTCGGCGCCTAAAGTTGGCAAATGGCCTCTTTCGGCATACTTTCGGTTTCGGCAGGTTAATTTTTAACTTTCCGTCTGGTTTCGGTTTCAGCTCAAACTGATATTGACTTTCGGTCATCATTCGTCAACCGAAGATTTATTTTTAGAATATAACGCTAGTGCTACGTCTATCACTCTGCCTATCGGCTGGTCAGTCGGCGCTAGGCAATCCAATGCGAGAGGCCGCAAACACACACACGTCAGCAGCAACAGCTTGGGAGCGAGGTTACAGCCACAACCATGGTCTGCTAATGTATATACGACCGGTTAACAGACGGCAGCCGGTCTGGCTGAATGCAGTAAAACTGTTGTTTCTTAACTACAACATTTGTTTGTTTGGATATAATTACTAAGTAAATAACACCTGAAGATTTTATATTTAGCGACTCTTACTGCAGGCTCTGAATGATTAGTTCTAGATTTATTTTTAATTAAAGTAGCATTGCATCATGACATATTTCATAAAGCTTGTGTTCGGCAACTTCGGTTATATACCTTTCTGTTTCGGTCACGGTCGAAAGTGTAGTTAAATTTCCGGTTTTGGCTTCGGTTTTGGCCGAAAGTCAATTTTTTACTTTCAGTCTGGTTTCGGCCGAAACCAGAAATTCAGTTTCGGTCGGCCTATATTGAGCTGCATGAATATGGTCATTTAGAAGTATTTTAGTCATTCGGTTCGTTAATTACATAGCTTTACCAATGAATTGACGCTAAACCTTTATAAGCATCGATGTTACGAATCTACATGCTCACAGGAATACTATTCTGTTGAGATTTATTTCTTTTGATCACGGAATCTTGCCCGCTAAGCAATTAAAGTCCATTAGCCAATTGATAAGCATCTATTAGGCAAACGGGCAAACTGCCGCACACTATTGTTCCAGGGAATTTCGTTAATTGTGCCTTGGGCACATGTTTCTTTACTGCTGTTTGTATGAATAGTCACATTCATTTTTAAGGACTTTTTCCTATTGCCGTGTATGGTCGCTTTACTCCGAGGTATTAGCCGATTGTTCTGTTACCCAGTTTATCTAACATAACCATTGAGGGTTAATTGTATGGATCAATGAGTAGGACATCTCCAGGAGTACTGTGTTGACAATTCAGAGCATAAGAGTTTGCATATTAGAGTGTTTTTAGATATTAAAGGTGCTTAACACAGAAGAGTCTGAATGTCCCTTCCTAAGTTCATGCATAATAATCTTAATTATAAAAACTGTATCCTGCAGTAAGATCTGAATTCTGAGACCTGACATAAAACACACTAAATATAATCAGTAAAAGTTAAAGCAATAAAAATTGTATTATCATGATTGATAATACACTCCTAGACAATGAAGCCGAGCCTAATTAGCATAAGTCCATAATTTGCATAATTACATAAATTATTATACTTTTTGAAAATTACACATTTTCAATTTTCATTTCATTTATTTTTATTTTTCAAGACCTAATATATACAACACATACAAAATACAATGAAAACTTCACCAGTTGAATCAGGTATACTTTAGATGAACTGTAAATTACAAGCATGGTACCATATTATGTACCATATATCAGGTGGGAAATAATATATAGATCTGTTTATATTTACTACAATTCATCCTATATTCATGCATTTGTGGCTAGTGTAGCCTATATTTTATGCTTTTTCTGATGCTTTTTCAAGTGACTGTTGCTCAAAAAGCTGCTCCCACACTGGTCACATACATATGTCCTCTGTCCAGCATGCATTTGTTGGTGTTCCTTCAGATGAGACATGCATATGAATGCCTTGGCGCACTCCGTGCACACGTACGCCCGCTCACCGCTGTGGCCCTTCTGGTGAACTTTAAGGTTGGACTTGAGAGAGAAGCACTTTCCGCACTCGTGGCAGGTGAAGGGCTTCTCACCGGTGTGCGTCCGACCGTGGTCCTGCAGGTGCTTGCGATGAGCGAATGTTTTGCCGCATTCGGAGCAGGCATAGGGCCGCTCGTTGGAGTGCATCACGTGGTGGGACTTGAGGGCTGAGCTCTGCACAAAGCCCTTGTGACACACTTCGCACACGTATGGCCGTTCCCCGCTGTGCCACCTCTGGTGGGTCTTGAGGTACGACAAATAAATGAACTTCTTTCCACACTCGTCGCACACATGCTTCCCGTCAAGTGTGTGTGTCTTCTGGTGGATTTTCAGGTAGGAAATCATCATAAACTTCTTCCCACACTGCTCGCAAGCATGCTCTTTCTCCGCGGCATGTCTCTTAATGTGTGCATTGAGGTTAGCGCGATTCACAAATGACTTGCCGCACTTGTCACAGGTCAGAGACTTTTCGGTGGTATGCGTGTTCTGGTGGTTCTTCAGGCTCGATTTGTGCGCAAACGCTGTCCCACACAACTTGCAGATAAAGGGCCGTTCGCCTGTGTGCTTCCTTTGGTGGGTCTTGAGTAAACAATTGGTGGAAAAGCCCTTCCCACAGTTCTGGCACACGTGTGGCTTTTCACCTGTGTGTGTCTTCTGATGGTGTTTCAGGTTCGAGTTTGTGGAAAACGCCTTCCCACAGTCCTGGCAGACGAATGGCCTCTCTCCAGAGTGCGTCCGCATGTGAGTCTTCAGGTGCGATGTGTAGAAGAATCCCTTCCCGCATTCATCACACATGAATGTACGCTCTGCCATCCCTGGAATTGCCGTCAAAAGCACAGATAGAGAGACAATTGAACACACAGTACATACGGTATTTGCAGCGCAAAATCATCCGGCTTCCAACATTGTCCGGCATGTAATCCGGCAAAACCGGCATGTAATCCAGCGATCACCATAAAATCGCTTCAAAGGCTGTACCAGTCCGGCGATCAGCACCATTTGTGTGACAAATAAGTATCTATGCTTGCTTTCAGTGTCAAATATTATATACAGCATATTATACAATACAATTTAAACAATGGAAATACTGCACTATGTATATATTTCATGACTAATAACTAATAAAAAACATGAAATATGCAGTTCGATCCTGCGAAAAGTATGTTTTTCTTTTTTTAACGAAACATACCTTTACAGCTGAACGAGGCAGCATTAATGAAATCAATCATTAAATTAAACACTTAAATTTCACTCCTGATGAGCGGGTTCGAACTACGCAAGTATGCCTGTGTAGTGACTGTCAGCGTCACGACTGTATGCACACACACTCACACGTGTGACGTCACTATGCCGGGGAGCGTCACTGCCACACAGGCCTGCACACACACAGGATGTCATCCCGTCCGGAGGCGGGAATGACGTCAGGGCCGGTTCAGGGATCGGAGGGGCCACGGGTGTGGTGTGAGGACATGGCACTCTGTGTGATCCCGGCTGGATACGTGACCGGATCCCAGTGGGGGCCGGGGGCCCGAGGGGCACCTTGGGAGGGCACGTGGACAGCAGGGAAGCTTCGAGAGGGTTCTCGAAGAGAGGCGTGTCCGGGGTGGGGCCCGGGCACGCCGAGGCCCATATAAGCAGCCTCCTCACGGGATTTGAGGCTGCTCGTGTCAAGAATGAAGATGCATCGTGAAGACGTCCCAAGAGAAGAGTCAAGCATCCAGTCAGCGTGACCAGCCAGTAGCCCACCTGGCTGGGTCACGCCAGTTGCATCCGAGAGTCCGTGTTAGAGAGAGAGACGGTGTGTGTTAGATTGAGTAGGTCGGTGGACACCACCCTATGTTAAGTGTTAAGAAAATAATAGTGTTGCCTCCCAAGAAGTCGTGTGTGCGCCTAATTGAGCCCATTACACCTGCATTCACAGCCGGAATCACAGCAGTGCTGGCTCATTACTGTCACACGGCTATTGTGGAAACCTGAAACGTCTCTCGTAAATGTTGGCAGCACTGACCGCAGCTGTGGTACAGGGACCACAACCCAAAAGCACAGGCCAATTGCCTTCGACAAATACTATTCAGCGCCGACGTCTACTCGGTGTGCGTGCGCACTCACCACTGCGATGCCGCTCGCCGGGGGGGTCAGGAGCGGAGGGGGGGTGCGGAAACGCCATCCTGGCCACATCAGCAACTGCTACCTCAGCAGCTGGAGAGGGAGGACACATAGAATAGAGTGTGGGTGGAGGGACACAGGTAGCAAAGTATGGGTGGCGGGAGATAAGGGGTACTAGCAGGAGGTTATGTTTATGGAATATCCGTCGGCTGACCCTACCATTGCGTGTGCTTTTTATGGGTTCTGTGTCTGGAGGGGTCCCTGTGAGGGCAGTATCATGTGTTCCTGTGACCTCGCTCTCAGCAACAGGTGCAAACATGGCCTGTTGATCTGTGGAAATAAATAGTACCAGGTCTCACGAGGGAACCTATAAGTCAGCACAGAACTGAGGGCAGCACAAACCCTTGCAATCATGACACAGGCTTCATCCAGGTCACCAATGGCCATGGACAGAGTCAAACCCAGCATTACAGACACTGTGGTTAAGCGTGCAAACGTCTCTGCTCCAATCTCCAAACACATGTAAAGACATTCTAAACATTCACTCCCCCACAACTGCAGTAGCCGAAAGTGACAATGATGTCGCTACTCTGCCTGTGCCAGGCTAGGTGCAATGTGACATAATTTAACATGGTGACGATTTCATAGTCGATAAGAGGTAGAATCATGGATTAAAAGAGTGGGTGACTGACAGAGGCACCACCTGGGAACTGACTGTGGCTGGAGGGACACAGGGAACAGAGTGTGAGTGGAGGGACAAGCAGCAGAGTGTGGGAAGAGGGAGTAGCGTGTGGAAGAGGGACAGAGGCATCAGAGTGGTCCTTCTTGGAAAGGTGTTTAGGCTGACTATCGTAGCTCGTGCTCTTGCTGGGTTTTGTGTCTGGAGGGGTCTCTGTGTGGGCAGCACCAGGGGTCCCGAGCGCCTCGCGCCGAGACCTCCTCGCTGGTCAGTGTCAACAGCAGCTGCAGAAGTGGCCCCTAGATCTGGGAAAACAAAGTGTCTGGGCTCATGATGGAATCTGCAACTCAGTACAGAACTGAGCATAAGGGACAGTGGGAATCGAGTGTGGGTGGAGGGACACACGGAATTGAGTGTGGGTGGAAGGACTCCAGGGAATAAATTGTGAAGAGGGACACAGGGAGTAGAGTGTGGGTGGTAGGACACAGGGTGCGAAGGGTTCCATCTTGGGAAGGTCTTAAGGCTGATTATATTCATGTGTGCTTTTGATGGGTTCTGTTTCTGGAGAGGTCTCTGCGTGGGAAGCACCAGGTGTCCCTAGCGCCTCGCTCCCCGACGCGTCCCTGTCAGCGTCAACAGCAGCTGCAAAAGTGGCCGGTAGACCTGTGTAAACAAACAGTGCCTGGGCTCATGATGGAACCTGGAACTCCAGCAGATAATTGAGAGCAGCACACACCCTCGCAATCATGACACAGGCCTCCCCAGGTCACCAAGGGCCATGGACAGGAATCATACGCAGCTTTACAGACACTGTGACCAAGCGTGCAAACGTCTCTCCTCTGATTTCCACTCATATGTCAAGATATATCTTAAACATTCACTCCCCCACAACTGCAGTAGGTGAAAGTGACAAAAATGTTACCACTCTGCCTTGACCAGGCGAAATGCAATGTGACATCATGTTACATGGTGATGCTTTCATAGTCGATAAGGTACAGAACCATGGATTAAAAGATGGGCGACTGACAGAGGCACCACCTGGGAATTGAGTATGGGTGGAGGGACACAAGGAACGGAGTGTGAGTGGAAGCACACAAGGAGCAGAGTGTGGGAAGAAGGATGGAGGCAGCGGAGTGGTTCATCTTAGGAAGATGTTTAGGCTCACTACCGTAGCTCGTGCTCTTGCTGGGTTTTGTATCAGGGGGGGTCCCCGCGTGGGATGCACCAGGTGTCCCTAGTGCCTCGCTCCCCGAGGCCTCGCTGTCAGAGTCAACAGCAGCTGCAAAAGTGGCCCCTAAATTTGGAGAAACAAACAGCGTCTAGGGTCATGATGGAACCTGCAACTCAGCACATAATTGATTGCAAGGGACAACGAGAATCGAGTGTGGGTGGAGAGACACCGGGAACAAGGTTTGGGTGGAGGGATACAAAGAACAGTGTGGGTGGAGGGACACAGGTAATGGAGTGTGAGTGGAAGGACCCCAGGGAAATGAATGTGGGTGGAGGGACATGGGGAATGAACTGTGAATGGAGGGACACAGGAAGTGGAGTTTTGGTGGTGGGACACAGGGAGCGAAGTGTTCCATCATGGGAAGATCTTGTGGCTGACCCTACCATTGCACGTGCCCTTGCTGGGTTTTGTGTCTGGAGGGGTCGCTGGATGCGCAGCACCAGGTATCCCTGATGCCTCGCTCTCAGCATCAGCAGCAGCTGGACATGTGGCCCCTCGATCTGAGGAAAAAAACAGCACCTGGGCTCACAACAGAACCTGGAACTCAGCACACACCCTTGCAATCATGACACAGGCCTCCTCCAGTTCACCAAAGGCCATGTACAGGCAGTCCCCAGGTTACGGAAGGGTTAGGTTCCCGAGAACGATCTGTAACCCATATTTCTCATATGCCGGAACCTGAATAATTTTCTCCCAAAATCCAGATGAAATCAGATAGCCGAAATAGTTTTGCATCCCCTATCCGATCACTAATTAGCTTTCTTTCAGTATGATATCACGCTATTGTCTGTTTTCTATCGCTACCTGTATCGTATCGCTGTGCATACAGACGCTTTGCACTTCCTATGATTCTCTAATTTCATAGAATATCTACCCTAACACTACCCATAATTAAACTAATAGAACATACACTGTATCAAATTGTTCATGAATAACACGAAACATTTTAATATTAACAGAAATCAATCACTTCCAAATGAAAGGAAATGAATTATGTAATGCTACAAAAAATTCCATTTACTTGAACCATGGTGAAGCTCGAGCCCAGTAAAGGCAGCATTTTGGTGGAACGAGGCATAAGGCGGGGATTACCCCCCGCGTAAGGCAGGGCTTACGCCTCACTCCGCGATATTCATCCACAACCTCACTGTGCTGCACTAGCGCGAACATTTCCGCATATTAAATGTTTTTTTACATAATTTATGGAAGCATTTCCATAAACATAGATTTCCTCAAGTCGGGTCTTCCGCAACCCAGGAACCCGGGAACTAACTGTACATGAATCAAACCCAGCCTTACAGACACTGTGGTCAAGTGTGCCAACATTTTTACTCTTATCTCTACACACATGTGAAGACATTCTAAACATTCACTCCCCTACAACTGCAGTAGCTGGAAGTGACAATGATGTGACTACTCTTCCTTTGCCAGGCTAGGTGCAATGTGACATCATGTGACATGGTAATGCTTTCATAGCCAGTAAGGAATAAAACCATGAATTAAAAGAGTCGGTGACTGACAGAGGCACCATCTAGGAATTAAGTGTGAGTGGAGGGACACAAGGAGTAGAGTGTTCCATCTTGGGAAGATCTTAAGGCTGACTCTACCTTTGTGCTTGCTCTTACTGGGTTTTGTGTCTTGAGGGGAATCTGTGTGGGCAGTACCAGGTGTTCCATGCGCCTCACTCTCTGTGGCCTCGCTGTCAGCGTCAGACCCAACTGTATACGTGGCCCCTAGACCTGTGTAAACAAACAGTGCCTGGGCTCATGATGGAACCTGGAACTCCAGCAGATAATTGAGAGCAGCACACACCCTCGCAATCATGACACAGGCCTCCCCAGGTCACCAAGGGCCATGGACAGGAATCATACGCAGCTTTACAGACACTGTGACCAAGCGTGCAAACGTCTCTCCTCTGATTTCCATTCATATGTCAAGATATATCTTAAACATTCACTCCCCCACAACTGCAGTAGGTGAAAGTGACAAAAATGTTACCACTCTGCCTTGACCAGGCGAAATGCAATGTGACATCATGTTACATGGTGATGCTTTCATAGTCGATAAGGTACAGAACCATGGATTAAAAGATGGGCGACTGACAGAGGCACCACCTGGGAATTGAGTATGGGTGGAGGGACACAAGGAACGGAGTGTGAGTGGAAGCACACAAGGAGCAGAGTGTGGGAAGAAGGATGGAGGCAGCGGAGTGGTTCATCTTAGGAAGATGTTTAGGCTCACTACCGTAGCTCGTGCTCTTGCTGGGTTTTGTATCAGGGGGGGTCCCCGCGTGGGATGCACCAGGTGTCCCTAGTGCCTCGCTCCCCGAGGCCTCGCTGTCAGAGTCAACAGCAGCTGCAAAAGTGGCCCCTAAATTTGGAGAAACAAACAGCGTCTAGGGTCATGATGGAACCTGCAACTCAGCACATAATTGATTGCAAGGGACAACGAGAATCGAGTGTGGGTGGAGAGACACCGGGAACAAGGTTTGGGTGGAGGGATACAAAGAACAGTGTGGGTGGAGGGACACAGGTAATGGAGTGTGAGTGGAAGGACCCCAGGGAAATGAATGTGGGTGGAGGGACATGGGGAATGAACTGTGAATGGAGGGACACAGGAAGTGGAGTTTTGGTGGTGGGACACAGGGAGCGAAGTGTTCCATCATGGGAAGATCTTGTGGCTGACCCTACCATTGCACGTGCCCTTGCTGGGTATTGTGTCTGGAGGGGTCGCTGGATGCGCAGCACCAGGTATCCCTGATGCCTCGCTCTCAGCATCAGCAGCAGCTGGACATGTGGCCCCTCGATCTGAGGAAAAAAACAGCACCTGGGCTCACAACAGAACCTGGAACTCAGCACACACCCTCGCAATCATGACACAGGCCTCCTCCAGTTCACCAAAGGCCATGTACAGGCAGTCCCCAGGTTACGGAAGGGTTAGGTTCCCGAGAACGATCTGTAACCCATATTTCTCATATGCCGGAACCTGAATAATTTTCTCCCAAAATCCAGATGAAATCAGATAGCCGGAAATAGTTTGCATCCCCTATCCGATCACTAATTAGCTTTCTTTCAGTATGATATCACGCTATTGTCTGTTTTCTATCGCTACCTGTATCGTATCGCTGTGCATACAGACGCTTTGCACTTCCTATGATTCTCTAATTTCATAGAATATCTACCCTAACACTACCCATAATTAAACTAATAGAACATACACTGTATCAAATTGTTCATGAATAACACGAAACATTTTAATATTAACAGAAATCAATCACTTCCAAATGAAAGGAAATGAATTATGTAATGCTACAAAAAATTCCATTTACTTGAACCATGGTGAAGCTCGAGCCCAGTAAAGGCAGCATTTTGGTGGAACGAGGCATAAGGCGGGGATTACCCCCCGCGTAAGGCAGGGCTTACGCCTCACTCCGCGATATTCATCCACAACCTCACTGCGCTGCACTAGCGCGAACATTTCCGCATATTAAATGTTTTTTTTACATAATTTATGGGAGCATTTCCATAAACATAGATTTCCTCAAGTCGGGTCTTCCGCAACCCAGGAACCCGGGAACTAACTGTACATGAATCAAACCCAGCCTTACAGACACTGTGGTCAAGTGTGCCAACATTTTTACTCTTATCTCTACACACATGTGAAGACATTCTAAACATTCACTCCCCTACAACTGCAGTAGCTGGAAGTGACAATGATGTGACTACTCTTCCTTTGCCAGGCTAGGTGCAATGTGACATCATGTGACATGGTAATGCTTTCATAGCCAGTAAGGAATAAAACCATGAATTAAAAGAGTCGGTGACTGACAGAGGCACCATCTAGGAATTAAGTGTGAGTGGAGGGACACAAGGAGTAGAGTGTTCCATCTTGGGAAGATCTTAAGGCTGACTCTACCTTTGTGCTTGCTCTTACTGGGTTTTGTGTCTTGAGGGGAATCTGTGTGGGCAGTACCAGGTGTTCCATGCGCCTCACTCTCTGTGGCCTCGCTGTCAGCGTCAGACCCAACTGTATACGTGGCCCCTAGATCTGTGGAAACAAACAGCGCCTGGGCTCATAACGGATCCTGGAACTCGGCACATAACTGAGGGAAGAACACACCCTCGCAATCATGACCCAGGTCTCCTGCAAGTCACCAACAGCCATAGACAGGAATCAATACAGTATTATCGACTCACCGGTCAAGTGTGCAAACGTTTCTGCTCTCCGCACACATACAGGCAAATAAAAAAAATCACTCCCCCACAATGATGTTACTACTGTGGCTGTGCCAGGCTAAGAGCAACGTAGCATCACACCACGTAGTGATTTCATAGCCGGTAAGGGGCAGAACCATGGATTACCAGAGTGGATGACTGGCAGAGGCACCTCCTCAAAATGGAGTGTGGGTGGCAGGACACAGGGAACAAAAAGTGGGTGGAGGGAGACAAGAACAGCATGTGGGTGAAGTGAGACAGGGTATTTTTTTGTGGGAGGGACACAGGGAATAGGATGGGGGTGGAGGGACAAAGGGAGTGGAGTGTGGGTGGTGACATGGAGCAGAGTGGGGATGGAGGGACAGAGGAAAAGGGATGTGGGTGCAGGGACACATGGAATTTGGCATGGGTAGAGGGGTTCAGCAGGAGGTGCCATTAAGGAAGATCCATCAACTGACCCTACCATTGCACTTGGCCTTGCTGGGTTCTGTGTCTGCAAGGGTCCCTGTGTGGGCAGCACCAGGTGTTCCTGGGGCCTCACTCTCAGCTTCAGCAGCAGCTGGATACATGGCCCCTATGTCTGGGGAAAGGAAAAGCATCTGGGCTCAAGATGGATGCTGGAACTCGGCAGAAAACTGAGCTCATAACACACCCTGGAAATCATGACATGGCTCCTGCTGGTCACCAATAGCCATGGACAGGAATCAAACCCATACTATAGACACTGTAATCAAGTAGGCAAATACGTGGAAGTAGATAAGCAAGCAAGGATTAAGCCGCGTTTTGTTATGCTGCCGGGTGGGTAAGTTAGAATGTGCAGGCTAATAATGTAAGGAGTTCAAACTGAAATGTGCAAGCTAAAAAACAACTTGTGGTACACACTACCATAGCGATGGTAGTGTGTAAAACTGTGGGTAACAGACTGGGAATATGGGTATGTTTATGAAAATTCATCTAAACTGGCTGTCTAGCAGTAAACTGCCCGGAAGCTAAAGTTTGACTTGGTTAATTACATCTTTCCAATGATTGCTCAATTTGAATCCATCATCTCGGTTGAAGTTGTCTATGTTTGTATATATGTCCAAGACAAACCCAAAGAGAGTGGTGGCGCTGTGGCACTCAAAACAAACAGTGGAGGAGCAGCAGCTGTCTCAACACAGCAAACAAACAGCGAAGACACCTCAGCAGCGCAGGCTGAGGAAACTACAGAACAGCAAGCATAGAGACAAGCCAGAGACTGTACATTTACTGCAGCAGCACAGGCTGAGGAAAATCTTGAACAGCGAGCATCAACACAAACCAGCGACTGCACATTTACTGCAGAAGCACAGGCTGAGGAAAATCTTGAATAACGTGATGTCCTCCCCCCCACCCCAATGTGTAAAGTTACAACTATAGTCAGTAGATACTACTGTCGTCAGTAGATACTACAGTAGTCAGTAGATACTACTGTAGAGTCAGTAGATACTACTGTCGAGTTAGTATATACTGATTCTATTGTTAGTAGGGTGTGTAGGCTCTCATAATTTTGTTGATGGATAAATAGACAAACGGAACACTGGGCTTTTATAATAGCTTAGTATTTGTGTATATGTTATGTTTTTAAGAGAAGACAAGTTTTAAAATATATTTTCCCCCCGGGCAAAGCAGGTTCCTTGCTGCTAGGGCAGGGGTCGGGAACCTATGGCTCGCGAGCCAGATGTGGCTCTTTTGATGATTGCATATGGCTCGCAGATAAAACAAAATATTCCCACTTGTTTTAATCCATCCATCGATTTTTCACTGCGCATGTCCTGTTCAGGGCTGCAGGAGCAATTGTCCATTATTTTAATTGGATGATACTGGCCTACGTTTGCCGTTGCTGGGTAAAACAGGTAAACGCCCCCTTTTGAATCAGTCTGAGACTGCGTCTGCTCGGTCATTAGCTCAAAGCTAACCCTTCGACGAAGAAGATGGCGAAAAGAAAAAAAGACGACGAGTATCGTACATTTCAGGACGAATGGACCGAAGAATTCGCCTTTGTGGAGAGAGCGGGTTCTGCGGTGTGTCTAATTTGCAATGACAAAATTACATCGTTGAAACGGTCGAATGTAAAGCGGCACTTCGACACGCGCCACGCTACCTTTGCATCAAAATACCCTGCGGGAGACAGCAGAAAGAAAGCGTGCCAAGAGCTTCTGAGCAGGGTGCAAGCTAGCCAGCAGCAACTCCGCGTATGGACCCGGCAAGGTGACTATAATTCGGCTAGCTTTGCTGGTTCTTTAGCAATAGTGAGGAACGGAAAACCATTCACAGATGGCGAGTATGCTAAAACGTTCATGCTGGATGTAGCCAATGAACTTTTTGATGATCTTCCGAACAAAGACAAGATAATCAAACGGATACAAGACATGCCTCTGTCGGCAAGAACTGTTCATGATCGTACCATCGTGATGGCAAACAAAGTGGAGGAAACGCAAGTGAAGGACATAAATGCAGCGCCGTTCTTTTCTCTGGCTTTGGATGAGTCAACAGACGTGAGCCATTTGTCGCAGTTCAGCGTGATTGCAAGATATGCTGTTGGTGACACACTGCGCGAAGAAAGTCTTGCTGTTCTGCCATTAAAAGGGTCCACAAGAGGTGAGGATTTATTCAAGTCTTTCATGGAGTTTGCTCAAGAAAAAAGTCTACCTATGGATAAACTTCTCTCAGTGTGTACTGATGGTGCTCCGTGTATGGTGGGGAAAAACAAATGATTTGTGGCGCTTCTCCGTGAACATGAAAATAGACCCATCCTAAGTTTCCATTGCATTATACACCAGGAGGCACTTTGTGCTCAGATGTGTGACAGGCAGTTTGGCGAAGTGATGTCGCTGGTCATTCGTGTGATCAACTTTATTGTTGCCCGAGCCTTAAATGATCGCCAGTTTAAAACACTGCTGGATGAAGTTGTAAATAACTATCCTGGTCTGCTTTTGCACAGCAATGTGCGTTGGTTGTCAAGAGGGAAGGTGCTTAGCCGTTTTGCGGCTTGCCTGAACGAACTCCGGACTTTCCTTGAAATGAAAGGCGTCGGGCATCCTGAGCTAGCCGACACCGAGTGGCTCCTCAAGTTTTACTATCTCGTAGATCTGACTGAACATCTGAACCAGCTCAACGTGAAAATGCAAGGCATTGGAAATACAGTGGTATCCCTTCAACAAGCTGTATTTGCTTTTGAAAACAAGCTGGAGCTTTTCATCACGGATCTTGAAACAGGTCGTTTACTACATTTTGAAAAACTGAGCCAATTTAAAGATGCATGCACAGCAAGTGAGCCCATTCAAAACCTTGATCTCCACCAGCTAGCTGGCTGCACATCCAGTCTCCTACAGTCCTTCAAAGCACGCTTTGGAGAATTTCGTGAGCACACTCGTCTTTTTAAGTTCATCACCCATCCAAACGAGTGTTCACTGAACACAGCCGACCTGAATTACATCCCTGGTGTCTCCGTCAGAGATTTTGAAGCAGAAGTGGCTGACCTGAAGGCCTCAGACATGTGGGTGAATAAGTTCAAGTCACTGAATGAAGATTTGGAAAGAATCACACGACAGAAAGCGGAGTTGGCGAGCAAGCACATGTGGACAGAAATGAAAAAACTCCAACCCAAAGACCAGCTGATTCTCAAAACTTGGAACGCGCTTCCTGTCACATACCACACACTGCAGCGTGTGAGTATTGCTGTATTGACCATGTTTGGATCTACGTATGCATGTGAGCAGTCATTCTCACATCTTAAAAACATCAAGTCCAACCTACGATCACGTTTAACGGATGAAAGCCTCAACGCTTGCATGAAGCTTAACCTCACCAAGTACCAACCCGACTACAAAGACATCAGCAAATCCATGCAGCACCAGAAGTCGCATTAATGGTGAGTGTTATAACAACATTATTTAAAAGAATAAATTCAGAGGCTTATTATACTGACATTTAGTTGAATTCACTTTTAAAATATATTATATGGCTCTCACTGAAATAAATTTCCAAATTTTTTGCTTTCATGGCTCTCTTAGTCAAAAAGGTTCCCGACCCCTGTGCTAGGGTATTCTAATTCACTCGCCTGCCACTGCAGCCATTGAGAAAAAGGGAACGATTTCACGACTGCCTGTGTCATGTTAAGTGTAACATAACGTCACGTGACATTGTGATTTCATAGCAGGCAAGGAACATGTACGGAAGAGGCACCACCGCCTGTCGTTTTCCAATCCCTGTGGGTCCGTAACCTATTCCACAGCGTTCACTGTGATTGTGATGAACTGTGGAGTGATATTGTCTGATGGGGTGGACTGTTTGTTTAGCTTGGGTAATCAGCATCGAACACGCACAAGTCATCCTAAATCCAAAGGCTGTAGGGTAAGGAATACCAACACTGAACACGACGGGCCGGTGTGGGTAGGACCACGCCTAGCCGCCTTTGTCACCCTAGAGCTAATGTTTACACACCGCACCATTTAAGGTTAAGTCGACCCACGGGCCAAGCTATTCATCATGGATGTTAGCCGGGTTCGTGGCGAAATGCCCTAACCACTAACTACCGCTCCCTACTATAAATAACAAGTCATTTGCCACGATGACGTCAAGACGGCGCATGTGCCAGGCTAGGTGCACTATTGAGTGCGACGTTAACTGTGTATGGCTCGCTGGTGTTATGGGTTGAACAATCCCCCCCCCCCGCATAGCTTTAATAGACTCCTAGAGAAAGTGCTGTGAGCGAGTGGGTGGCCAGCACCACGCCCGCTGCCTTCGTCTCCCCAGCGTTGCGATGTTTACACAACGTACCGGTAGTCATTTGAGGCCGAGTCGACCGAGGGGAGGCCCCAGGACCGGTTCAGATAATCATCACTGACGTTGGCAATGAGCGGGAATCGAACTCGGATGGCCAGGTTTGTAACACAGCGCGCTGACCACTGCGCCTCCGCTCCCCGTACACATGCATGTACCAACTCGCGGAGCGCGAGAAAGAGGCTAGCAGAGTTACATGTCTCCGCGATGCGTGGGGAGGCGGATGGTCACCTGCGAACACCTGCTGCAGTAAAACCTCCCGCGCCTCCTCTGCGTCGTCCTCCTCGCCTTTCCCGCCGGGGATCGCGCACTGCGCCTCCATGGAGCTGGCGCGGGCCGGGGACGACGCGAGGCCGCGTGACGTCGCGAGGCCGCGTTACGTCATCGACGGGCGACGCCCACCGCTTCTGTGTGAACTGCGATGGCCCCGGAGCAAGATGGCAGCCGCGGGGCGCGTCGGTTTTTCTGTTCCACGGACTGGCGGCCATAATAAATTTATGCAAACCGACACACCTGATGACGACCGTTTGTGTTATGGTCGAAACGTCGTGAGAATTTTTATTGTTTTATATATATATTTTATTATTTTATTGTTTCCCTTCAACGTGACTTTACCGAAAGAGCTAAGAATATGAATTACTGCAGTCACGAAAGCTTTAAATCAGGACAATTCGTCCATGATGCTGGATGTAATTCCTGACGAAACGTCGTACAGTACTCAGATTGTAAATGTTGTGGATTTGCTCTCCAACGCATCGGTGTGCTGTGCTGGTAACGAATTGGCATGTTCTGTTTGCGTGACAAACCTTACTGGCTGTGTCGGGTGGTGGATTACGACACATTTACGCTTACGCGATATAACCCCCAAAAACTCTATTATTAATAAAGGTTTATCATGAATAAAGGTTTTGTGTTAGATCGCCTAAATATAAATGTGTCTCTTTGGTTCTTTCGGTAAAGTCACGTAGAAAGAAAATAAATAATAAAATACGACGTTTCGATTGCAACACAAGCAACCGTCATCAGGTATGAATGAATACAAGCTCGGAGAGATACAATCAGACACGGAGAGAGATACATATTTCAGAGAGAGAAACAGAGACACATATACAGAGAGAGAGAGAGAGACAAACAGACACGGAGAGAGATACATATACAGAGAGAGAAACACAGACACATATACAGAGAGAGAAACACAGACACAGAGACACATATACAGAGAGACAAACTCAGACACGGAGAGAGACACATACACGGAGAGAGAGAAAACACAGAAACACAGAGAGAGATACACATGGAGGAGAGACACGCAGAGAGAGACACAGATACAGAAACAACGCCTCTGTGACGAGGCATTATATAGAGAGGGGTGGGGGGAGCAGGAAGATTAGCATGTCAATGAGAGTGGTAGGGGGAGAGAGATTGGACGTTTGAGAGAGAAATAAAAAAAGAGAGAGAAATAAGAAAACAAGCCTAGTAAAATTTAGAACTGTAATGCAATGCAACAGAGAGTCGGCTAACACAACAGTTAACACTTTACCTGGTTGATTACGTTATTCCTGGTTGATTACGTTCTCTCTGCGTGTGTGTCTCTCGATGTCTCTCCCTCTGTGTGTATGTGTTTCTCTCTCTGTGTATGTGTCTCTCTCCGAGCTTGGATTCATTCATACCTGACTAGCTTTACTACCCGGCTTCGCCCGGGACTTGGATTCGCCACGCTCGGCCGTCTATGTCTCCACAACGGCGATGTTCACACGCCACACCAGTTACTCGTTTGAGGCTGAGTCGACCTAGGGGAGGCCCAGGACCGGTTAAAATAATCGTCACCGGTGGTGGCCTTGAGCGGGAATCGAACTCGGGTCGGCGGGTTTGTAGCGCAGCGCGCTAACCGCTACACTACAATGCGTTACGCTTCCACATGCGCGGGTCACATGACAGATTTAATGTCACAGCTCACTTGCCGTGCAAAAAATATATGCATTATTGAGCTCCCCCCCCCAAAAAAAAGTTTATTTTTAAATGTTTTGCATGGTGTACAGTCTGGAAAGTACCCACATGGCAAATTTCAAGTTTGTTGCATGTCGGGAAGTACGCTAAACATTTTGAATAGACACATAATCACAACTTTGCCTTTTATATATATGGAGATGACTGTTGCTTGTGTTGCAATTGAAACGTCGTATTCTATTTATTTTATTTCTACGTGACTTTGCCGAAATAACCAAAGAGTAATTCCTGCAGTCACAAAAGCTTCAAATCAAGTTAATAAATGTGTCGTTAAAGCCACCAACGCCCGACACTACCATTTAGTAAGGTTTGTCACGTAAACAGAACGTGCCAATTCGTTACTTGTGTTGAGGTGCAACAGACGACGCTGACACAGTTCTTGAGTAGGGGCGGATGCCAAGGTTTATTAAGGGCTACTGCCGGTAACTTATTAAAGGCTTACGCCTAACAGGCGACATCCCTAATATCTCCCCAGGGGAAAGGGTACTGGGAGGTTCCTAGCTCCATCCAGGCTATACGTGCTCTTCCCCCAGCACCGACCGAGGGATCATCCAACTCGGTCGGCCGGGTGAAGTAGTCACTCTAGCCTGGCGCTAATTCCCCCTACCCTGGATCCCGACTCCCTAACACTCTCCGTTCCTGGCCCTTCGCAACGACCCCCCCCCCTTATATATCCCTGTAACTTGACGTCATCCATTCTCACCCCCCTGAGTGACATGACGTCCTCCACTACTCGTCTACATTACCCCCCCCCCCCGTGAAAAAGAAAACCAGCCGACCCGGCTGCAACAATTATGCGAGAGGAGTCCATCCGATGGGAAGCCACTAGGACCAGGTACCCCAGGGACGCATGCATATAGAGACAACCCCGGCTGATAGCAGAACACAACACGAGGGCAGCACGGGATCAGATAAGTCTGGACAGTCACCACCCGGCAACGTAAGTGGCGACAAGGCAGCGGATTGAAGTAGACGACTCCGCGGGCCGTTAGCGTATGCGCACGCCCTTTGAGCACGTGCCTGCCGCCGGCCCGCTCCCCCGTGTGGCATCGGCCGCCTGAGGCGACGGCACGCCGGCCGAAGCCGAGCCCGCCGGCACGTGGCCGAGCTGAGGCGTCGCCGGCGGCACCACCGGCAGGGGCTCCGCTGGCGCCTCTAACGGCGGCCCACTGCCCCCTGTGGCGTCGGCGTCCAGACCAGGCGGTGGCCTGCAGGGAGGCAGGGTCGCCGCTGGGACACCCACCGGACAGCCCGCTGTTGGCGGCGTCACTATCGGTGGCTCTGCGGGCATACACAAGGGCAGGGCATCGCTCGCATTACCATGACCCCCGCGGCCCAGCTCGTCGGACGCAGCAATCGCCGACCGCTCTGGAAATGGGGATGAATCAGGGAGGCCCTGCGGCACCACCCGCTTGAGCCGCGACGGGTGCACGATCCAGTGACGACGGCCCCACCAGATGCGGACACATTGCGGACGGCGGACCTCCATGACCTCGACAGGGCCCTGCCATGGGCGATGTAATTTAGGAGACGTACCCACCGGCACTTGGCCGACAGCCTGGTGTTTGAGCAGGCGCTCGTTAGCTGCCTGCCGGCTGGCCGAATTGTCTAACACCGCTTGCCGCGCCTCGCGCAGCCGATCGAGCGCGATCCTCATCTGGATGGGAACAGGCGAACCCTTTTTGGCAGGCCTGAGGTCCAGTTGGACGTGCATCGGGAGTTCGGGTTCTCTCCCATTCATGAGGTAAAATTGGGAGAACCCCGTCGAGGCATGAGGAGCCAAACCTGTACGCGGCCTGAACAGGTCCCAGTCCAATTGGGACGTGCTCACATGATGACACAGCATGGACGTGAGCGTGCAGTTCAATCGCTCTGCCATCCCGTCGGACTGGGGGTGGTAGGGCGAGGTGCGGACCTTCTTCGTCCCAAGGAGGTCACAGACCTCCTTAAGCAAACGGGAAGAAAAATTCTGCCCCTGATCTGTCAAGAGCTGTTCTGGCGCCCCCTTGTCAAGGACATACCCCTGAACAAACGCCTCAGTGATGGCCGAGGCCGATTGGTCCACCAGAGGTCACATCATAGGCCAACGTGTGAGGTACTCCATGCCCACCAAGAGATACCTATGGCCCCTTTGGGATGCAGAGAATGGCCCCAGAATGTCTAGTGCCATGAGCTCATTGACACGAGAAACCCTAATGGACTGCAGCGGGGCCAGATACTGACCAATAGGGGCCTTCCTCCGCGCACAGTCGTGGCAACCTTTCAAAATCATCATCCTCCACACCAGGCCAATAGTAATCCCGTTTAAGGGTTAACAAGGTCTTATGGAAGCCGAGGTGCATAAGTTTCTCATGAATGACCCGGGTCAATTTACCTCGTAATCCAATGGGCACCACCACACAATAGCGTTCCAACTGGGCATCCCAACGCATGAGGAGGCCGTCATGTACGGTGATCACCGGGGCAGCCGACAGAGCCGAGCTCCGGGCATTTGGCCCAACACGGCGTCACAGCCTCAGCAGAGAGGAATCCTCCATCTGCAACTTGGACCATACCTCCCGGGGGAGTTCCAGCCGAAATCAACAGGCAATGCCACACCCGGAGGGGTGCCGCTTCGGCCGATGCAACCAACTGGGCCGCAGTGTCCACTGGGGCCTTACAGCGGCTGGAACCCAGGGCACAAGTGCACCCGCCGTCCGGGGGCAGCCTGGAAAGGCCGTCCGCATTCCCATGCCGAGTCCCCTTCCTGTGGATGACATCGAAGGGGTAATCCTGGAGCACCTCGAGCCAGCGGGACAGCTGACCTGAGGGCTGGTCAATTCGCAGGCAATACTGCAGGGCCGCATGGTCAGTCCGGGCGGTGTACCGGTGACCATACAAATACGGCTGGTACAGCTGGACAAAAAAAAACAATGGCCAGCAGCTCCCTCCTGGTGACGCAGTACCACTGCTCAGTGGGAGACAAAACGCGACTGGCATAGGCCACCACCTGTTCCACCCCATCGATCACCTGGGCCAAGATGGCTCCAATGCCCGTGTCACTGGCGTTGGTGTCGAGGAGGAAGGGTTTAGAGAAATCGGGATAGCCCAAGGGCAGCGCATCTACCAGGGCCGTGCGAAGCGCCACAAAGGCGTTTTCCTCCTCCACACCCCAGCAAAATTTTGTACCTTTGGCGGAGAGCGCGTGCAATGGCTTCGCAATAGTCGCAAAATCGCGGATGAACCGACGATAGTACAATGTGAAGCCAATGAAACTACACACCTCAGCTACAGATGTGGGACTCGGCCACGTCCGGACACAAGCTGTCTTCTCCGGATCCATGGCAACACCTGACGCACTTACAATATGTCCCACATATTTCACCGATGGTTGCAAAAG